AGTGGGATGGGTGGGGTGGAGAGATACCAAATGGAATCACACTGTAGAATACCTTTCTAACTGTGTTCCATTGCCCAGACAACTAGTTCTTGGGGGAGGTTAATTAGGTGTTATGTGAAAAAGAAAGATTTCATGTCAGAAAGCATGAAGGGCTGTGTGCAGAGTTCATCAGGACTCTGGACAGTTCATCAGGGCCTGTACCAAGGAGCTCAGCCCCCAGTAAGCTGTCTCACACACAGCACCCCTCAAGGACCTGACTGGGGAGCCCTGTGGCAGGGCATGCTCAGAAGCCGTTTCCAGAAAAAGTGGGAAACACTTCTCTCTAAAAATATACCAATGTTCCCAACCCCAATGAAAACACCAACAAAACAAAGGCTACTGAGTTAAAGATGTTTTTCCAAACAGTCTCCACTGAGGAAAGCAACCGCCATTTCTACACAGGTGGCTCTTGTTAGGTGAGGGTACCTGGGCTGGGTTTGCCCGAGGAGCTCAAGGCCAGATGCTGCTGACTCTGCCTGTGACTGCAGGGAGACAACAGCACTTGTTTATACTCCCAGCTCCCTTCCTTCCTCCAAATTCCACACATGGCTCTGTGCTGCTGCCCACATTTTTCTACAATTCTCCTGTTTAGGCCTAAGTAAAAAATAGGACCGGCACACAAAGCAAACTAACAAAAAAGATGAGTGAAGCCAAAGGAGTGAAAATAAGAAGAGATGGTGAAATAGGGGAAATTCACAAAATCCCTCTCTGGAAATGCAGTTGGAAGGATGGAACGAAGTGGCAGGAGGCTGAGGCCTCGGCGCTCCAGGAGCAGCGGGCAGAGTGCCCACGGCCAGAACGACTCACACAGGTGGGGACCTGACTGGCAGGGCGCTGCTCCGTCAGTCAGGACCCGGGGGGTGCTGGAGCCTCCACTGACGTCTCACAGGGCACTGCAAGCCACACGTCTGTCTGACTCATTTACAAATGAGGGATTCCCAGGCATTCCACACGTAACAAGAGTCGACTGCACCAACCCTGGGCCCAGAGCCGGGATATGCTGCCTGCCAACCCTACACGCTTCCTCGAGTGAGAAAGCCAGCAGACCCAGAGCTTCTCGGACTTCTCATCCAGAGCCTGGATAACTCATCCAGGGCCATCTCTGAATCCAGCTAAGGGACCTGGGACTGTTACTGGAGGCAGAGAGATACAGAGGAAGCAAGGAGAAAGTGCAACCCACGGCCCAGCAGTAACAAGTCCAGGGGAAGGAATCTCTCCTCCCCGCCTAGGGCTGTGCCTTCGTGGCCACTGGCTCCTCGTAAAAGCTGGTGAGAAAGCTGTGCGTAGCCAGGTCAGCCCGACTGCTACAACATTAGCGGTTCCCTGTTCCTCTTCCTACCTTCCCAGCGAGCCCAGCGAGCTCTCCCGACCCAGAGCATCCGAGCGTGAGGATCAAAGAGAGAAACCTGGTTCCTGGTTTTCCCGTTACTGAAACTTGTGGGCGACATGTGGGTGAAGGGGACCCAGCCTTGGTGCCCTGCGTCGCCCTCCCTGGGCCCTCAGCTTCTTCTGAATCCCCAGCCCCGGCTACAGCAAGCACTCGGCAGTCTCCACCCCCAGGCGTGTTCTTACCTGTAGGTCTGTGGTGACTGCACAGAGCCTCCGGAAGGAACATTCTGTTTACTGTCGGCAAAGTGGAAGCCCTTCATCTCCATCTGAGAGGACTAAAGAGACCAGGAAGTAAAAGCTGCTGTCTGGTGGCCCAGGAGACAGCCTGGCCCGCGCTGAACTGCCTGGCAGAGCTGATAGGGGTCCCTGAGGACCCAGTAGAACTTCAGGAGAGAGAGGAATCTTCTGAAGGAACTCAGGCTTGAGGGCTTGTTTTTAGAAGTGTGGTGCTGATATTTCCTTTTCAAGTTGAGCAGGGAGAGTGGCCTAAGTACCACCACAGGGCAGGCTGTGACCACAGTATCTATACCCCAGGGAAGGCATCCTCAGCAGAACCCTGGGAGCTGGTGAGGAACACAGGTCCCCGGACCTCAGCCCCAAACATACTCTATCTGGGACCTTTGGGACTTGCCCCTGAACTGGCTCCACAGGTGCTCCCTTGCCTAATAAGGGAGCTCAGGCACAGACTGCACACACCTTCCTCTCTACTTGGGCATCTCACACACCCGAGTCCACCTACGTTGCTGGTTACACACAAATCGGGGTTCCTGCACAGAATGCCGAGAGGACTCTGAACAAGTGAGGAAAACTGGGGTGCTGAGGTCAGGAGGTTGCACCCCCGGCCTCTGGCATTTCCTGCCCCAACAGTAGTGCCTGACTAACCTGAGGGGTTTGTAAGGACCCTCCCAGGATCCCATCAGATGGAGTCATGCTCACCTCTCTGCTGGTGTTAAGGACCGAAGGCTGGGACCCAGGTGGAAGAATTCTGCGGGGGGCCCCAACAGAGAGGCTCTGCCCCTGCGGCAGCTGGATGGATGGTGGCAGGATCAGGGGCTGCTGCCCAGAGCCATATCGAGGCAGAGGCAGCTGGGAGCCAGGCAGTGGCATCGTCAGCTGCTGACAACAGGGAGAGTCAGGAGGAGGAGTGGAGGAGGCTGGGTGTTTATACATGTGCCTAAGAGCAACCCCACTTTAGACTTCGGATTCCTATTTTAAGGTTAAAGTGAGGCCTCTGCACAGTAGTGAAGACTCTGGCTTTCTGTTAGAGCCAAGGAGAGGGCACCCTAGACTTTACACTCGACAGCAGAGGCAGGCCTATCCTGGAACAGGGTGGGTGGTGGGGAAGCAAGTGCAGGACGAGGCTGCCTGCGGCTGGCTGGCACCACACAGCTCCTCTCCAAGTCGGCAAAGGGCGTGTGCCCCAGCCCGCCTTGCTTCCACCCAGCAAAGGCTAACTGAATGCACACTCTGTGCTGGGGAAGTACCGAAATGTGTCAAGCCCAGAAACGCAACAGCAGCGCAGTGACATGCCGGACACAGCCACAGGCTGCCAGAGCACAGTGCAGCAGCAAACCCATGTGCAGGTGTGGGCGGGGGAAGAGTCGGGGAAGGGCAAGGAAGCTCTGAGGAAATGATGTCCATGTGGGTCCCGGACGACAAAAGCGGTAGAGAAAAGGCACCTGTGTGCCTTCTGTGCATCACAGAGGCCAAAGGTCATAGAGAACAAAACAACTGGGTCCTTGGACCCAAACTGGAGCCTCTTGGATGCTTTCAAAGAATGGGTGACTGCAAGGCCTAAGCAACCACTTCTAACATCCAGAACAAGGTGGTAAAGGAAGGGGCAGGAGTGGGCCACTTTTTGTCTCTCAGTCATATTCCTCTTCATCTCCCTGCTATTGAGTCCACAGTGGAGGGTCAGAAGGATCTATTGGGACTACATCACCGAGACATGTGGCAGCCAGAGGCCCCAGGCTCCGCCTGTGCACAACAGGGTGGGATGGACAAGAGGACGGCACTAGCTCAGCGTGTGCATGACCAGACCTGTGTTTTAATGGGGCCCCTGGCTGCTGTGCTGAGAATGGAGTGTTGGGACCAAGAGCAGGAGCAGAAGAGATGGGGCAGGAGCTCGTACAGGAGCCTGGACAGGGAGGGGGTGGCAGGGACGAGAAACGGCCGGACTCTCACTACTTTTCAAATGCAGAGCCAATAGGAACTGCTGAAGGAGCAGAAGGGGTGACTCGAACTGGACAACCTCAAGGACTAGGAATAAGATCACACTTTGGACACACTGCACAAGTTAAGTTTCAGATATCATGAGATACTAAAGCAGAGATGCAGCAGCCCACTGGATTTGAGTTCAGGTCCCAAAGACAGATTGGACTCAAGATATAATTTGGGAGAACCAGGAAGCATCAGTGAGTATGCAAAGGACACTCACCCACCTCCAAGCCCACAGCCCGAGGGTGGGAGTGGGGCTCCAGGAGGAGCAGTGCTCTTAGAGGAAGCCAGGTTTCAGGGATAGAGGTGACGGGACTACTCAGAAGGGGCTGAGCATGTGGCCCTGGTTCTAGTGGCCCAGGAACCAGTCACAGTGGCTACAACAGCAGGTAGGTCAGCACACATCGAGATGCAGACAGAGGAACAAGCAGTCATGAGGAAGCAAGGCCTGAGTCTGGGGTGGGAGTGAATGAATTCCTGACCTGTGGGAGCTGGGAGTCCAACATCTGGGAGGCACCCAGACTAGCAGCCTGGCCGAGCTGGCTCTCGTAGACCAGGGCTTGGCTTCCGCTCATGGGCTGGTAGGGTGAGCCAGACTGGGGCTTCACCATCTCTAAGGGCTGCATGCCGGGGAACGCAGAGTACGGAGGCTTCAAGGCTGTGCCTCCAGAGAGGATCATGGTGCTGGGCGGTGACAGGCTAGGGTGCATGTACACCTGAGATCTGCAAAAGCCAGACAGATGGTCGGGGTCGGTGGGTGAGTACAGCAGAGGATCTGAAACTTGAGCCCGCATCAGAACCTCAGAGGGCTTGAGAAAACACACTGCTAGCCACACCCCTAGTTTCTGACTCAGAAGGTCTGAGTAGGAATTTGCATTTATAACATCTTCCTAGACGGTGCCAATGCTGCTGGTGCAGGGACCATAGTTTGAGCATCGCTGGGTTAAATGGACAAGCGTACAAGACGCAGGAAAACCTATGTGATGCCAAAAGTACTGGACATAAGACACAGCAAGAGCAGCTGGAGGCGGTGGGAGAAGGGCGTTGAGCATGGCAGAGGCGCACGGAGGGAGCAGGTCCACGGCCTCTCCTGCAGCTCAGTTAATAATGACCTGTAACTGACCACAATTACCCCCACCCCACCCCTAAAGCGGACAAGCAGGGAGGAAAGCAAAACAAAGGGAACGAGTGCACAGGATGCAAAGGTCTGAGCTCTGCTAGTGAGCTGCCAGCTCTTCAGTGCTCTCATCTCACCTGAAGGGCTGCAAGGAGCTGAAGATCTCCTGTGACTGGGAGACGGGCAGCCCGCCTCTCAGTCCCAGTTGGGCTGGAGCCTGTAGAGACGTGTGAAGGGAAATGGGGATCTGCTGGGCAGCGGCAGCCTGTGGGGGGAAGCCAGGAGGGTTACTATGGTACCCTTCAAGCTGTTTTTTCCTCTTCTCTCCGCATGGCAGCTAGAACACCACCCAAAATGCAAATTCAAGAGCAACCTTCCTGTGCTTTTGCTCTACACATACCATATATTTTCATACCTACGTTCATCCATGGAGGTGGATCTCAAATATGGTGATGGACAATCACATAAGAACACACGAAGTGTGACCCAGTTATGTAAAGACCAACATCTTGCAAAACTAAACAATGTAATATTTAAGAACACACTTTAAAGAGAGGTCAGGATAGGCCAAGTCCTCTGTTCTTGGACCCCAATCTGCACTTGGAGCAGGGTTTCCACCCAGGCGCTCCATGGTGCAGGTCTGTGCAGGCACACAGGTCTGGGGGTGCTGGGCCATTCAGAAGGCCCTGCAATTACTTCAAGAGACTTCCAGAAATCATCCCCTTGCAGCACAGAAAATATGCCAATCCTGCATAAAAACAAATACCTGCTTGCTTCTAAAACTACCTCTTTCTAATGCATCCGTGCCTGGGAGTCTAGGCCTTGCTTCTCTTCATCAGAAGGATACCTGATCACCAAAGAGAATTCCGTTTCAGCTAATTCCCCAGCTAGAACACAGAAGGAGAACTCTGAGAAAGGAAAACTAAGCAGAGTCTGGAGCACTGAGCTCCATTCCTCTTCCCTGTCTCTCATTTACTCGTTCCACAAACATTGGCTGGCTGCCATGACAGGCCAGGTGCTGGGCACTACATGTGAGGGATACAGAGAAAGAGACAGATGACAAATAAAGAAAGTAATGACACCGCCCCTGCCCCCTACAAGGCCACTGGGCTTGCTGCCATCACCTGTTGGTAACTCTGCTGCTGAGGTATCGTCTGAGGAACCAGCCGGGGCTGACTTGCAAACACATGGCCATCCAGGTAGAGAGGCGGCAGGTGGTTGCCTGGAGACAGAATCCAAGCAGGCAGAACAGGATCAGGTCTCACTGTTCCTAAGGTCCCTTTAGGGTACATGCTGAAGGTGCACGCTCTCCCAGGGAGCGTGTACAGGGCCTGCTCTGTTCCCCTGCTGTAGGCCCTGGGCTCCTGCAGCACCATGCATGCTGATGACACCCCTGGCTCCCCCACAGGGCACCTGGAGAGGTCGCAGCACCAGGCCCAGGAGGAGGGCAGCTCCAGCCCACCCTTGCTACCTAGCTACTCGCCCACTGCCCATACTCAGTAGGGCATCCCTGTGAATGAGGCTGCATTGGTCTCTCAGTCACGTTCCTCTTCATCTCCCTGCTATTGAGTCCACAGTGGAGGGTCAGAAGGATCTATTGGAATTGCATCACTGAGACCTCGGCAGCTGGGTCCTCGAAATCCCCCCTCCCCCCCTCAGGCACCAACACAATGACTAAGACACTGACAGGAAGAATAATCATGGCCGCCACTGAGGGTTCAGCTGATACAAAGCACTTTCCAGGTATGGCCTCCTCTGGGCGTGGCTACCGCATGGAGCACCATCCTCACCCTGGCTTATTTTACAGAGCAGAGGACAAGTCTCAGAGCTGAGCTTCTCACTGGTGGAGGTGACACAGCCCCCACATGACCTGGGTTCAACTCATAGCCAGTCTCTGCTCACTCCTCCCTCCAGGAGGTGGGAGCGACTTGCCAGTCACTGGATTCTGCTTCACGAGCAGGGAAGGTGGCGAGCGGGAAAGCAGGAAGTGTGAGCTATCTGCAGCACGTGGGAAGCTATGGTCACCCAGCCTAGAGATAAACTCCTAGTTGTACAGACTCCACAAGTCAAGGTGGGGTTGGGGCTCAGGGCTGGCAGCCCCGCTTCTGTCGGGGTAAGAAGGCTCGGGCTGAGGTACCTGGAAGAGAAGGTGCTACGGAGGCCACAGGCATGGGTGGCATGGAAACTCCGCCAAAGGAGCTGTAGTTGACCCCGCTGGAGGCTCCCAGAGAAGATGGGGGCTGGATGCCCGAGCCAGCACCTCCTGGAGAGCTCTGCTCCGGCAAACTGGGCGAGTTTTCCCAAGCCTTACGCGCAGACTCCATCTTTGGAAGCAAGGGAAGGGGGAGGGATGCAAATACTAGGGTGAGGCAGCAGCACCATCAATCTAGGGCTCAAGAGTGGGCAGGGTGGGTGGGGTTGCTCCTGACTCTTCACAAGCTAAGGCACCGTGTGGGCCTTGCCTAGCTCAGGGCAGGTGTTACCTTCAGAGTGAGGTCAGCAGTGGGGAAGGACATCTGGGAGAGGCCGATGGCCCTCTGGATGTGATGATCACGCCTCAGGATGGGAATACTCTGTGTCAACCCAGCCTGGAGGGGAACAGGAGACCACGGGACAAACAGGCACAAAAGTAAGACAATGTGTCAAAATGCACCTTCAGATTTGGTCGTGTGCACTTGAGACCACCAAAGTGACGCTGCCTGCAGCCAAGACCAGTTTATTTCCTCCAAAGAGCTGCCTCCATGGCTTCCCGTGACAGAGGACCAGGAGAGCCACCCCCACATCCTCTAGAGCCCTCCAGCAGGGACAGTCGTGTGCCAGCAACATAACAGTAACTGGCTGCCAGCACACAGGCTTGGAGACCTCCAGGAGACTGAAAAAGAGGTCCCCATTGACAAATATTCAGGAATGGCTACTAGACCCTCCTCCTGCAGATGCGCAGTGCCCACGGGCATGTTACAAGGTCCTGAGACCTCAGAGAACAAAAGCTTGGTGAGCCCTGCGAGAATTCTCAATATGTGACATGGAACTTCGAAGGACACAGAATCAAAGAATGCCAAACACACCCGACCCGAGGAAATGTATGACCCACTTTAAGGTCGTAACACTGGGGTGTGCACATTTAAGCAACTAGTTGAAATACATAACTAGCTAGAACCTGCACCATGACTCAAACCTGGGGCTGCCTGACCCCAAGGCCAGGCTCTCTTCTCCCAGGGCCTACCAGGGCAGGGACAGAGCTGGGATGGAAGCACACTTACGTTACTGGCCAAGGCGTCTTGGAGCTTGACAACCGGATTCCCTGGGGGACCAGAGGCAGAACCTGGTGGCAGGCTGAAGTCGGAGTCCTGGAAAAAGGGGACAGAGTCCAGGGAAATCATCCCGGTTCACCTTGCAGCAGAGACAGACACAAAGACTCAAGAAATCCACTAAGCAGCATCCACCATGTGAGCAACATGGCCAAATGTTTCCCAATGGCACACGAGGAAAGGATGCCACCTCTCATCCTCTCTCCCTGCCCATGCCCACTGGCTGACCTGACAGAGACAGTGAAGACCACCACCCACTCAGCCTGAGAACCTGCGGGGTGTGAGGACACTCCCCTGGAGTGCTGCTCAGCTCCCATCTCCCTGCTCTCTCTAGAAGACAACTTGTTGAAGCACCCTCCTTCCTCTCCAAGTACAAAAAAAGAAAGGAAGGAGATAAATCCAAGCCTCACTTTTGGACTAACTCCAAATTCGATGGGCGGCACTGGGAGCACGGAGTCCACGTGAATCTCCACTCCGTTAACAGGTGGGACGACAGCCCCTGGCAGCCGCTCGGCGCCCTCCGAGCCCTTTCTGTTCTTCAGAGAACGCTCATTGCCGATGGGTCCCGGTCTGTGCTCCTTGCTCTGTCCTGAGCCTTGTTCTGAATCCTTGATGGGAAAGCAGAGAAACTAAAACACACAGACAAGACGACCCCAAGCTATAGCTCCTAAGCATCCAGGAATCGGGCAGAAGACAAAAGACAATGAGCCCTTCTGCTCAGCCCTGACCTGTGAATGGGACTTGCACGTTACCTTTTGCTCAGGTTGCTTCTGAGCCTGCTCCTTGTGGCTGTCAGCCTTGGGCTCGAGGCCGGTCCCGTTCATCTCCTCTGGTTTCATTGTGCCATACGGTGAGCTCCGCTGCGAAGAGGTCGCAGAGGACTCTCGAGACTCAGCGCTCAAGTCGACACCACTATCTCCCTGGCTGCTCTTAAAGCCCGGCTGTGCAAGGCACAAAATGGGTTAGAGTCCTGACCCCAGACTCTGAAACGCAATCATCCGAGAAGCGAGACAGAATTCAGCGCTGAGACAAGGCTCCCCCAAACCGCCTGCCTGTGCATGGTCTTGTCCTGTGTTGGGTCCTGCCTGACAAATGAAGGCACATGACCAAGTGCACTGCCCTGCCGGAGCTCAAACCTCCAGATCTCCAGTGGGCCTGGGCTGAGACCCCCAAACTCATTTCCCTTGTGGCCCAAACCAAACTGAGTGAGCAGTCACAGGTTTGAAGGAGAGCCCCCCAATTGCTCACCCTACACTAGGGGTGGGTTTCCCTAGTAATCCCTTCCCTTCCTCTCTCTCACACAGGCACATTATGTAGGTCAAAAATCGAGACTGCAGTCCAGCAACAAGCTGGGGCCTGTGGAAATGGCCTCTGGTCCATGCTCGACTGCTGTGGCTAAGGGAGGGCTCAGGCGGGCTGCAGGATGAACAGGGCCCTGGACAGGCCAGCCATGTGGACAGGGAGCACAACCAGCAGGCAAGCAGCACAACACACTCACCTCGGCAGAGCCGGACTCGGTGCTGTTGAAGGCAGTGGCAGCTTTAGTCCAGGAGTCACTGGTTGAGGCCTGAACAGGCAGGGCTGCCAGGAGGAGAAACAGATAGTCAGGACATCAAAGAGGAACAACCAGGCTGCAAAGACGAGCATAGGTTGCTTACACAAACCCCCGTGGCCCTCGCCGACATGCTAATGAACAGATCTGATACAGGGAGCTAGTCTGAGCTTTCCCCACCTTCCCAGATCCTCAGAAAGACCTCAATAAATGTGTTTCCTCATCATCTCACCAAATAGATTGTGCATGAACACACCAGTCATGCCATTCTCTCCTGCTGGAATCCTGTCACTATCTCTGCTGCAGGGAAGCTCCCTTCACTCAAGCTATTTACTTCTCAAGCTGGGAGCTGCTACGAAGCCTCTGAAAGGGCCAAGCTGCTATTCCTGAAATTCTGTTAGCTCAAAGGTTACTCTGAGCCTAGCAGAAGCCATGGACCCTGTGTGTGTACACAGAATTTTACGTGTGATCTTAAAATCTAGGGGCCCTCTGAAGCCACCTGGGCCCTGGTCTGAGCACTGCAGAACCTGGAGGGGAATCCTGACAGCAGGGGCCACCCCCTGTGCCTGGTCTGCTCTAACCAGACTGGGGGCAGGTACCTGCAGAAATTCACATTACACCTGTCACTCACTACCAGATGTCTGACATCAGTATCTCACTGAAAGGTCAAGCGCACTTGCAATCAGAGCTGAGCACCATCAATGCTATTCTGCAGTAAGGACAGGCCATGAAGTGAGACTGAGGATCCAGGCCCAGAACTCAGAATATCGGTGCCCGTCCTGTGGCTCCGAGGATGAGTCCCTGCACTCTGAAAGCCTGGGCTGCTTTGTTTAAAAACAAGCTGGCAGTGGGTGATTTCTCCATGCTCCCTGGGGAGGTGCCGTGTGCCCTGGTTTTATGCGTCTTTGTGCCCTGCAGGGCCCTGGCCAAAGCGGGCATTCAAGAAAAATCTGCTCCCTTCAAATGGTTCTGCATTTTTAAAGTTACCAGAAAAATAGCATTAAGTAGAGAATTTTTTTTAAAAGTTTAGGGAAGCCTGGCCGGCATGGCTCAGAGGTCGAGCATTGATCTATGATTCAGGAGATCAAGGTTCGATTCCTGGTCAGGGCACATGCCCAGGTTGTGGGCTCAATCTCCAGTAGGGGGCATGCAGGAAGCAGCTTATCAATGACTCTCTCTCATCACTGATGTTTCTGTGTTTCTATCTCTCCCTCTCCCTCTCCCTTCTCTGAAATCAATAAAGATACATTTAAAAAGTTAAAAAAAAGTTCAGGGAAACCAATTTTCTAAAAAGCAAGATCCACCTTACTCTGGTCTCAAGTCTCTTTCTGAGAGAGCATTTAGAGGGACTGATAGACCTTCCTTCTGGGCTGGGAAAGGGCACAGAGCACCCACCAGAAAGCTCTGGACTCTGGCTCCCCTCCCTGCAGCCACCTTAATGAGCACAGGGACAGGGCACTGAGTGGGTGGGGCAGGGCCACCCCTTCCAGGTGTCTGGACCATGGACTGCTTGGCTCTTCTACCAAATGCAAGGCAGGAAAATGTTTACACCTGCTCAGGGGCTGCAGCAGCAAATGGCTAAGATGGGGCCTAACCCTCTGGCTCAGCAGAGGATGCCAGGAAACAGGTTATGCTCCACCTATACTCACGGCCCAGAAAGCAGACACACCCTAAGAAAATAGCCACGGGATAACCACTGAGTCTAGCCACCCCAACTCTTACCCTGGCCGCTGCTCTCCCAGATCTCAGTGCCCAAGCTACTGCTTGGCACAGGCACATCGCCCTGCTCCAGGCACAGGTTGTTCTGCCTTTTCGCAAACCGAGGAGGAATACGGGAGGAAAGGCCTCGGCCTTTGACAGGCACCTAAGAAAAGAAATGCTGGTGGAGGCCATCCTAGACATCAGGCATAAAAAATGACAAATTCTCCCCAGGAAAAGTCTCTGGGGCATCAAAACCAAGAGACCTTGCTCCAGAGATGCAAGAACGTTCGTCTCTCAAGATCTCAACCACATGTGAGTTTCAATGCCAACTAAACTGCACCTGGAAAGGACTGATGGCCAAGGGACTGTGATGAACTCTGACAACAGAACATGTGTGCAGTGCCCCACCAATCCCATCTGAGCACAGGGTCCCCACCCCTTGTCACTCCCAGGGTGGCACAGTGGGAGGAGAATGGAATTAGGGGCTGAGGAAGGTCTGCACCTTGCTCAGCTACGCTTTGGCTGCTCTCCTGGGGAGACAGGAATAAGGCCACCTCCTGCTACAGGGCCGCAGGGAGAACAGGCGCTGGGGAATGTGCTTACAGAGCACTCCTCCCCTCCTCCCTCTACCCTGGGCTTCATTCAGAATGCAGAGCCTCCTGGCTCTAGTTTCCCTGTCAGCCTGTCCTCTGCCCTGCCCCCCTCACCCTGTGCCCCTACCTGCACAGCCTGCTCCTTCCTCCTTCTCTCTTCCTCCAGTAGGCGTCGCTGCTTCTTGGTCAGGACTTCGATGAAGCCTTCACCTACCATGGAGCCCACCTCAGTCTCCTCCCCTGGGCTGGACCCACAATTCTCGATGATGGAATCTGAACCAAGAGTTCCCGAGAAGGATCAGTGTTCCAATCACCAGAAGCCATGAATAACCCAGCCCTACAGGCAGGGGTATGTCTAAGGATGGCTCAGCTCCAAAGGCTGGGCAGTGCCTGGCTTGGTATCTCCAAAGCCCCGCGCTGTGTAAAACCAGAGTCTACAGAATCCAGCTGTGACTCTATAACCTTCTCACACCCGCTCTAACACACCGTTAACTCAAGCCAAAGAGGCCTAAGTGACACTACAGCTCAGAAAAGTCTTTGGAGACAAAGACACTTAAGTCCCACCTCTGCTCCTAACTGGCCATGTGACCATAAACGAACCACAATCTCTCAGGGCCTCAGGATCCCTTCTTTAAAACTAGGGTACCATAGGGCAGTTATGGGGGTTTGGGAAGCTGTGAGCAACACAAGCGCAGGGGTAGTATCTGTTCTGCTCACCACTACAGCCCTGGAAAGTGGCCCAGGGCCTGCAGAGGCTCAGGTATTCAGTGAGAGGGCAAGCTAGGCAGCCCGTGTAGCAAGGCCCCATTTCACCTGGCTCTTCCCCTGAAGATTTGAGGGGAAAGACTCACTTCCATAGTTTAGGTCAAACTGCTTCATGGCCTCTCCCTGTTCGCCTGCCCTCTGAGCAGCCAGCGTGGTTTCCTCTGCCTTCTCACAGGAGGCTTCAGGGATGTCAGAGGTGGCATGGGCTGCCCGTTCCAGGGTATAGTGGCCACTCCCACTGCTGCAGCCCAGACCTCCTGGCAAGGCCTCGTCCGGGGTCCTGTAAAGGAAGGACCTCATTAGCTCAGAAGTGACTGCAGGCTGGGAAGGAGAGGAAAGGGAAAACTGCCTAAGCACACAGCACGCACACGTGCCCTGACCTGTGCCTATGTCCCCCACTGCCCCTTGTTCCATGGAAGCTCCTCCCTGGCAGCAGTGTGCATGCAGGCCACAGGGAAGGCCACCTCCACTGCACCGCTGCCTGGAAAGCTAGACTAGATGGACACCTGAAAGAATCCACATATCCTGTGGCTCCTCCTCTGGGGTAAGAATCAATCCCCAGGCTTCTGCCCTGAATTCTGAGGGGTAGGTGGAAGCAGCATGGCTGACGTCGCCTCTCCCTGATCCCGGGCAGCCTATGGGCACTGAGCTGACACAGACCATCCATATCAAAGCCCCCAATTCCGGGCCAGAGATACTCACCGGGCCTCAGGCAGCCCACTCCCTGTTGCTACTGCCTGTCTCACCCACCAAGGTGGCAGTCCCTAAAGGGTGCCATGCCTTCTCACTGCTGAGAAGCAGAGTTGCTCAGGGAGGAGCCGCCTCCGGGGCCAGGCAGCAGCCGCACAGCAAGGGCATCTGGCGGCCTGCGTGGTGCTGACCAGGCCCCTCACTGGGACCCCAAGCACACATATGGAGGCTGAACTCTTGGGACAGGCGCTAGGCAGCCACCATAAGAGAACCCCTGGGGAGGGGACTCTAGTTTTGGTTTTCAAGCCACAGCAAAACACCACAGAGAAGCAGACAAGCAGTGGAAGGGCGAGTGATGGAGACGCTCACACACAATGACTGGCAGGCAGTCGGCCCCTGGTACAGGGGAGCTGGGGCACCTGACACATGGTGGGACACACATGCATGAAGTGCTGCTCAAAAAACTAGCTCAATCACAGAGTGACAGCAACAGGAATAACCCGGATTGTTTTTTTGTTTTACCTTTTGGCTTTCAAAGGCGTCCCACTCTGTTGGCTCTCATAACGGGGAGGAGTGTCACCACCGTGACCTGGCCTAACAGCCTTCTCCCCAAACCCTCCCGGCTCCAACTTCCGGCTCTGTCTGTCCACCAGGGGTCTCTGACCGGAGAAGCTCCTCTTGGCCAACTCCTTCTTCTCCCCCAAGTTGGCCCCAGGCAGGCTGCTATCCACTTGGGAGCCGGGCTCGGCCCCGGGGCCGTCTCGCCGCTCACGCCTCTCGCTGAAGTCGCTGCTCTCAGAGGCAGTCTCCCACTCTTCATTGGCATGGTCAGAGGAGTTCTGGTAGGAAAGCTCAGGGGACCTGCGGCCCACGGTGCCACTCTTGTCCCCAGTACACAGTTTGGACCTAGCCGGCCACTGACCTGGCAGCAGGTGGGGCTCCTCCTCAGGCCCCCACAGGCCTAAGGATTCGCGCTCCTGCCGGAGGCGCCTAAAGCGAGGGGGTTTGTCCTGGCGCGGGGGGCGCCTCCTCCGGAAGGGCCGGTTCTCTGCGTTCTCAGAATCTGCCACGTGGTCATCTTGGAAGAAGGCCCTCTTGTCCTCCAGGCGGCTGTCCTCGAAGGCCCTGGCACCAAATGAGTCAGAGTGTCTGTAGGCCTCTGGGATGTAGTCTCTGTCTGTGGGTCGCCGGGAGCCACAGGTGTCAGGGGAGCCATGGTCCTGCCAGCAGGTGCCAGGACTCTTGCTCTGCCAGTGGGCCACCTCTCTGGACATGAAGGTTCTCCGCCCGTAGCCACAATTGCTCAGCCGGGGAGGGAGGGCTCGTCCAAAGGCCCGAGGGCCTCTGTTCTTCGCCTCCAGACTGCTGTGGTCATCGGAGTACATCTTGTTGGACCGCCAAGAGTCTTTGAAGTCACCTTTCTTCGAGACGCCCTCCTCCCTGTCCAGGAGTGAGCCTTCATGGCCGCTGTCCGAGCCTCTCTGCCGCCGCCGCTTGGGAAGCTCTTCGTATTCGGAGCCCTCGCTGTGGGTCTCGCTGGCAATGCGGCGCCGGGGCTTGGCTCTGGAGAAGTCCTCGGGCTGACCAAACTCACGTAGTCCCCGGCCCCGGCTGCTTCTCTGGCTATTGGTGTAGATGCCCCGGGCCCCAAGGATCCCCCCACCGCAGATGCCAGGGCTGCTGCCGCCAGCGGGCCGGCCACGGAAAGCGAACTCTCGGAACCCGCGGCCGCGGCTCCGGGCCTGCCCTCGGCCCCCAAAGGCTTGCTCCTCATCGATGAAGATCCAGTTGTTCCTCTTCGTCAGGGGCGTGTCGCTGGGCTCCCGGGAGGGTCTGGGCTCCCAGGTCCTATCAGGCGTCTCGTCCTCTTCAGGCTTGCTGGCTGAGCAGCCAGGCCGAGCACGGGCCGTGCCCTGGGCCTCCGAGGCGGAGGGGGCAGTGTTGGCCAGCGTGGGGTCGTTCTCCGCGTCCGGGTCCTTTTCCGCTGGGTGGCTCTGCGCCGCCTCCTTGGCCAGGCGGGCGCTCTCCTCCCCAGGCTCCTGCTTGCTCCTCTCCAGTTCCTTCTCCTTGTCTTCCACCTTGAGGGCCTTCAGCACGGGTTTCTTGATGGGCCCCGACCTCCGGGTCCTGCTGGTCTGCTCCTGGTGCTGGCTGCTGGAGCCCCGGGACTCAGGGGTCCACTCAGGCTCCAGGGACGGCTGTTTGTGGGGGCTCCCTTCCTTCTCCCAGGAGGAGACGTGAAAGGGCGGCTCCTCCCGGGGCGCCTCCTCCTCCACACTGTTGGCTGTGTCAGCGGCCTTGGGCTGGTGGCTAACGTCCCAATTGCTATACTCTGGCTTTTTCTCAGCTGGGGCAAAGTCGGGCTCCAGTGGGGAACACCTGAGGTTTGGGGTGTGACCCCCAGGAGCACCTGCTTCCTGTACATTTTCTTGGGGTGGAAACAAAAGCTCCTGGCCTATTCTTTGAGAAGAGACACAGCTGTCAAAGTCTGCTTGGGCCTTCTTGTCAAAAGCACTCAAGTACTCCTCCACTCTCTCCTCAAGGAGATCGCGCTGGGCACTTACGCCCCCTGACCTTCCGGGTGAGGCAGAGTAAGAGCTTTCACTCCTGAAAAGGAACCAGAAAAACCAGTCAATGTGATTGGAGCCTGGTTCCTGCTTTCCATGCTGAACACAAAGCTTAGTTTTAAAAAGAAAAAAGTATAAAAAAAAAAAGAAAAAAAGGAAAAAAAAAACACTAAAAAAGAAAAAGAAAAAAACCATAAGCACCAACATTTCCTCTATCTTTAAACAGGTCTCAGAGCGAGCGGCTGGGCCATGGATGGGTTGGTGGCCCTGGAGTCCGGAGTGCAGAGGGCAGTGGCTGCGGGTGGACTCAGCGTGCCACCCTGGAGACAGAGAGCAGCTGAGGATCCTCTGGTTCGAACAGCTGGAGCCTGGGAGTCCGTGAAGAGTCTGGGGCGCTGGGCCGGAAGGGCCAGCTTGCTTTACTTTCACAGGAAGGAGCCCTCACGTGCTCAACCCCACCTGTTGAGCCCTGAGCCCCACCCTGCCCCCCATCAGAGATTCGCCTTTGACCCATTTCTCCTGGGCTTTCAGCCCCACCATCAATAAGCAACTCTCACACAGAAGCACTCAAGCCATCCTTGCCACACTCCTTCCCCAGAGGGCACTGGCAGGCCCTTCCCAGGTGCCCTCACCCCTCGGGCAGTGGCTCCTGGGATAGTGCCTCTTCCCAGAGCCCCTCTCAGGAGAGTCTTCTTTGGGTGCAGGCCAGCAGGACCAAGTTTGACTCACCTGACGTGCATGTCCATGGCCAAGGTGTCGCTGGATTTTGGGTGAGGGAGCGAGTAGCTCTTGCTCTGCAATGCCATGTAGCCCTCGGGACTCCACACAGGGGCTGGATCTATGGCGGTCACTTTTCTTTCTTGCAGTGGGGGGACACGGCTCTGATCCTCAGATCGACAGCCAGTCCCATTGACAGAGTCCTGGGCCACCATGGGCTTCATCAGTCCTGGAGAAGGAAAGAACTGATCTAGGTCACGCCATTAAAGACTGTGCTCCGATCTCAAGGTTGACCAAAGGCTCAGAGGAGACAACAGTTTCCCCAACCATCACATGGACATGGCACCCCAGCTGACCATCCCTGGGATCTTCACCTGTACTGACCACAGCACATTGGAGCCATAGTGTGCAATCTGAGTTACTGAAAAACCTCTGACATCCAGTTTGTTTCCAGATTAAGAACCCCTGCAATGAAGGGTATAGAAAACTGGCAAATGGAAACATCAAACCAGAGTTCATCAATGTCGGAGAAGGTCAGCGAGGGCTGGTCAGTCAGCAACGAATCTCGGTGAGCAGAGGGACCTGAGGTTTGTGTACAGACATAGGAAGGCGAGCGACGGAACGAGCTGGCACTTACCTGCTTCAGAATCTGTGCAAGGAGACTTCCAAAGAGATTTTGGTTTTAGTTCCTTTCATTTCTAACCCTAAGACTGACAGCAACACCCCACATTTTCGTACAGGAAGGGGTAGCACGACACACCAAAGGAGACTGTTAACTGGCCCAAGGAGTTCAGGACGACGACAGTATCTCACTCCTACCAGGCACAAACCAGCTGGGGAACCGTGCCCCTCTATGGCCTCACTGTCCAAATGAGGAAGTAGGGATGGTGCAAATGATATTAAAGGACTTGTTGGGCCTCAGTCTATGGACAAAAAAGATCTGACTTTTCAAATATTTTCTTCACAAAGCTTATTAGTAGCCAAAAATTTTGTGGTGCTCATCTTTTAAGTTGAGCCCCAGCCTCAGCAGTGGTTCCAGCCTTTCTTGGGCTGTGGGGCACTCCATTCAAATGCTGCTGACACAGGACTCCAACAGAGTCAGACTGTCAGGTGTGGTGAGGACTCTCTCAGGAACCCCCAAATTACACAGCGCTTATTAAGTATTGACTGAGGCAGGCTAAACTGTTCAACGCTGTGTATGGCTGAGCCTTATTACCTGAAAAACCCTCCTGCAACAAAAATGCTGGACAGAATATATGAAACATTGGGCTTACAGAGCTGTATATCCCTAAAAACGGGATCGACCAGGGAGCAAGAACCACAGCCACAGGCCTGAGCCATGAGCTGGTGCTTCCTGGAGGGGAGGGCACACATTCGTCAGTCTTTATAGCCTATGGGCTGCTTCTTCAACACACTCACAGCACAGGGGTGGGGCTTTTCTGCACAAAACAGAGACCCTCAAAGGGCCGTGTCCTCAATTAAAAGGCGGATTAGAAAACCATAAGCTCTTTTGTATAGGGAAATAACCGAGTCTGTATCTTGGCCTGGGCCAGGATAGGTAACCACTCTAGAGGGATGGACTCTCTAGAGGGATGGACTCTCTAGAGGGATGGACTCTCTAGAGGGATGGACTCTCTAGAGGGATGGACTTGTCTCCCATAATAAATAAGGCTCTGTTAAAAATGAACTTGTAATCCAAAATTACCAGCATACCTGTGGAAAGGAAGACACAGGATTATACGCCTCCCCAAGAACTTTGGGTAACAGAATGATCTGTTAAACACTAGGAAGCTATGTTTTAAATGATTAAAAAGCATAAAAGATATTAAAAATATGACATAAGAAAAAAATAACAGGTTTGAGAAAAATTCTAGTGATAGTCACTGAAATGAAAAACTCACTGGAGAGTAAAAAAAAAAAACACTCAGCAGAATATACACAACTGGAGCGAAAACTGAACTGTAAAATAGTTCTGAGGCATTTTCCCAGAAGGCACCCCAGAGAACCTCTCTTTCATATTTAAGAGACTTGGAAGCCAGAATGAGAAAGTACAAAATATTCCAAGTGGAAGTCCTAAGAAGAAAGGATACAAAGAACAAAAATAAGGCAATATTTGAATCGGTAATTAAAAGAGAATATTCTGAAGCGATGAAAGACATCCTCGACTCGAGCCGGTGAGTTCTCAGCAGAATGAAGTAACGTAGACGCAGATATGCACCTGGAGAGGACATCACGCCAGAATGGGAGAGACCAGAGACAGAGAAGACAGAGAGGAACACCGCCCTCCCAGCAGCAGCAGGAGCCGGAGGCAATGCAGGCATAGTAATACCCTCTTCCCAGGCTGACAGTAACTGCCAACCTAGAACTCGACACCCAGCTGCACTACCATTCAAGAGAAAGAGTGGCAGGAAAACATTTCCAGGCAAAGGAAATCTGCCAAAAACCTTTCCTGAAGGACTCGACAGAACGCACTTCATAAAGAAGTGAACCGAACCCAGACGGAAGGGAAAAGATGCAAGAAGGGAGAGCAGCAAAGAAACTAGTAAGCACACAGGCAGGTCTGAACAAGCACAGGCTGGACAAAACAACAGAAAGTGCTGACTAATCCGGTGGGCATAAAAACAAGGCACAACTAACAGGTGACCGACGAGGAGGTGCTCGGAGTTCAGGTGGAGAGAGAAGAGATTGATTAGCCTTTGCTAAGTAGAGGGCACATGATGGAATTTAATATAACTACCAAGATGGAGACAGAATGCAGAAGCGAAAACAAAAAGAGGAGGAAAACTTGATCTGAAGAAAAAAAAGAGTAAAAGAAAAGCATAGAAAGAGGGACAAACAAAAAGTATAAAATAGGAGAAGGAAATCCAAACATCATCCCAGTAATAATGAAGGACCGATTTGGCAATAAAGCAACAGGCTTTTGGAGTAAAACCACACACATTTTACGTACAAAGATACACTCTCCAAAATGGGCTCAGAGAGGCTGATGGTAAAATGTTGGAGAGGAAACCAAATGATCACTAATCAAAAGAAAACTGGAATGATACTACTATTAGACAAAGTAGACATCAAAGGTAGGAAGCACAATTAGCAGTAACAAGGGTGCGCCTCCAGAGAGAAAGCAAGTACTGCCTGGCTCACAGGACTGGACAGGCCTGCGATCATCGTGGGGATCGGAACACACCTCTGAGCGACAGAAAGGACAAAAACTGCAATGACATACACATGCACATAGCACAGGCAGCAAGCTCCATTCTATCCAACTGGAGAGTACCTATTCTCTTCAAGCAAACTTAGAATGTTTCACAAAACCAACCAACAATCATGTAACAGCCCGCAAAGAAAATCTCAACGAATGTCAAGCAATCTAGACTGGGGCCTGGCTAGCACACTCCAGCCCTTGAGTGAAACCCGACCAGCGCCAGTTTTAAATATGTTTACTGGAAAGCGAGGGCGCTCTTTCACTATTGTTCTACAACAGCAAACCTAAGTAGCTGCTCAAAGCCTAAAATAGCATTTACCACCTGGCATTATAGAGAAAGTCTGATGACCCCTGGACTCCATCACACAGACCATATTATCTGACCACAAAGCAGACACTTTAGAAAATCACACCATAAGGACAATCTTTAAACTATGTATCTGGAAAATTTACAACACACCATTAAAAAAAATCATAATAAAAAAAGATAAATCAAAATCAGACTAACATTTAGAACTGCACAGTATCAAAGGTGCTTTCTTGTAAAACTTATGGGAGTTCAGAGCTCAGATGATACTTAAATGAATCAGAGAAGCCAAAAATTAGTGAGCTAAAGCATCCAACATAATTAGTCAGACAAAGAACAGAATGATTTCAAAGGAAATAATGGAAAAAAGCAGAAATTTATGAAGTAACAATCAAATAAAATAGAGAAATTAAGAAATCCAAAGGCCACTTTTTAAAAATGGCATTAATTAAACAAACCTTGGGGAAGATTGATCAAGGGAAAAACACAGAAAAGGCACAAAGAACTTAAGAACAAAAAAGGGACAAAAAGAAAGGAGAGAGATAAAAATTAATTAAAGCAATTGATAATGCACAATCTTAGGAATCTTCGCAGCAATTCTGTGTGACAGGTACTACTATCCTAGCCTCATTTTGCAAACAAGAAAGTTAAAACTCAAGACTGGTCATGTGACTTGCATAAGAGTCCGGAGTGGAATCCTGTGGATCTAACTCCTGAGGCAACATCCTTCACACCACCCTGTCCAGGGCCACTAGCTCACGGAGCTTACCTGAGGGGTGCAGGGCCGAGGGGTAGAAATCCACTGGGGTCCGAGCGGGTGTGATCCGTGGGTCCATGTAGGAAGGCATCATCATCCACCTGGGATCGAAGCCCAGCATCTGAGGATGGTGTGCGTAGAAGGGGCGCTGCGGGTGGGAGGGTGGAGGGTACACCTGCGGCCAGTGCTGCATCTTGTACAGCTGCTCCTGAGCAGGGAGAGGGACCTGGTTAGACAGGAGCTGCAGGGCACACAGCGCTCCAGCAGGAGGCACGGAAGGCCCACCCAGAACAGAAGACCAAAAGAGGCACAGATGGACCCCAGTGTAGTAAGGCTTTCAGGCTGCCGTCCCGCTCCCAAAACTGGACGGACAATTGTGCTGTTATCACAGAGGGAGCCCATGTGCTCCTCCAATACAAGCAGACTGGGTTTCCATTTGGGTCAAAATCTCCTGGAACTGACCACTGACCAGCAGACACCTCCCAGGGACTCTCTTCTTGCCTACAACCACCTGAGGATGGTTACCAGCCTCTCCCTCCTCACCGCTGCCCTCTTCAATCCATTCTCCACACTCAACTAGAGCAATCTTTTACACACACACCTCTGATCATGCCAACCCCATGCTTCAAAGGAGCTTTCGATGGTTTTCCACAGGGCTACACATCGGCTTCAGCGTCCTGCGGGACCCTGCCCACCTGCCTCCCAGCTTCACCTCACACCACTGCCCAGGCTCCCTGCTCCACAGGACTGCCCGCCACTTGAGGCTCTGGTAACATACTAGGCCCTCTACCTGGGAAGCTCCTGTTCCCTCCATCCCCAAACCCGGCTCACTCGCACTCTTTCTTTAGGTTTCAGCTTCAAGAGCACTTCCTCTGGGAAGCCTGTCACGACTCCCAAGGAGAGATCAGGTCTCTGTCCTCTGCTCTCACCACACTGACATTTTTCCTTTGTAGCACCAACAATAAGTCATTATTTTCTATAGCTGGCTTGCTTCGCTGTATCACAAGAGACAGCACACCGAGTTACATGGTATCCCTGCCCCTACCGCCAGACCTGGTATATAGAAAGCTCACTGCACGAGAGGATGAATGTGAAGCATCAGTAGAATATTCGACATCAAGGAGCTGGAGGGGGCTCACTGCAGACCCTGCTCCACACACCAGTGACCCCCAGACTGCCTCACAGGTGCATGCTGAATTGGCCACCTGGCAGGACTCAGGTGCAGAGTCAACCCAGGAGGAGAGCCCGGCTGCGCCATTCCCTTCCAATCTGTAAAGAAGAGGCCGCCCACCAGCTGGCAGCCTGGGCTGGATCCCCTGGACGCTCTCCATCGGCGCTCACGACACTTTCTGAGGAGCACTCAGCATTCAATAAATAGCTCTCCCAGCCACACGGGAGGCTGCAGGCCTCTACCCAAAGCAACTCTGCACAGCTAGACCCCAGGTCCCCAGGGAGCCTAACCGTCTGACTAGGCTACTCCAGGCTGCCCTGGTGCTTTCAGACTCCTCTCTATTCCTAAGAAAGGACTGGCCCATCACTGGCCCCCAGAAGAATTACCTCAAGTGACTGCTACTACTGTGTCTGGCTCGAGCTACTTCAGAGATCTCCCCAGTTGGTAATTGCCCACAAGCCATGAGTAACTAACTGCATAGCGTCCCCCACACTCCAACGCTAACGCGCACGAGTGTCGCTCCCTATTCAGAGCATGGGACCCGGGGGCTCCCGGAATGCTTCCTAGGAGCCCAAGCAAAGCATGATCTGGGGGGGAGAGGTTTTTGTTTTTTGGAGTTTTTAAAAAATTGATTTGAGAGAGAGAGGCAGGGACAGTGAGAAAGAAAGCAAAACATCAATAAACATCAATGTGAGAGAAAAACATCAAGTGGCTGCCTCCTGTTCACTGTGTGACTAGGAACTGAACCCGACACCTGGTATGTGCCCTTTCAGGGCACAAGACAACGCTCCAACCAATTGAGCCACATAGGCCAGAGAGACGTGTCGATTGGTTGCCTTCCGCACGCAACCCGACCAGGGCAGGGGATGGGATCTAACCTGCAACCCAGGCATGCGCCCTAGACCAGGAATCACACACAAGACCCTTCGGTGTGCAGGCCGACAGTTTTGAAGGCAACTAAGAGATTCCAGAAAGAGGCTCAAGCCTGGGCTGGCTGCCCCAGGGCATGCACGTTTTGAAGCATCTTGGCTGTTATTAGTCATAATTCACTGCACGCCTAATTGCTGGCCTAAGTAACGCCCACGAATCACCTGTTCCCACCGAAATGCACTGCTTGTCAGTGATAAATCTGTTGGCTTATTACTCCCATAAGACACATAATGGCTACGAGGGGTTCCAGCTGGACGAGATGGCCAGGCTTACAAGAGCCTGGGTACGATTGTAACCATTACCCACACGATCTCTTTCGGGGCAAAAGTGAGTCCCTTTTAAGGTTTATGAAGCACTAATAAAGACGATACCGATAGGTCAGTTTCCAAGTGTCACAAAACCCTCGCTGCCACGCTGACTGGCAGGTATCCCTGCTTCCTGGCTGACGCTGGCCTGTCCAGGCCACACACAACTAGATACGCTGCACCACTGGGACAGGGTCCCAGTCTCCGGTTCAACACCGACACACCCACCACATCCTTCACCCAGAGCTCACATGCCTCTGACAGCTCTGAGCAACTCCCAGGCCGCCCTCACTCTGGGAAGGTCCCAGGGGGCCACTGTCAGTCTACAGTGTGGCCACGGCGTGCTGCTCTGAATAAAGAAACACTCTTCCAGCTGACCTACACCAAGTCCAAGGCACACACATGAACACTTCCTTGCTAACGTTAGACCAGGTCAAAAAACCACAGCAGGAGAAATCACAGAGGAAGGTCAGCGCTTATCTACCAGGGCCTAAGTTCTGAGGTGCAGCTCCTGTCGTCCCCAATGTGCCTGGAACATGTGATGGTAGATTTCTGTTATCTGTTTAAATGGAAGGGGCATGGGGAAGGGGAGGGAACGTCACTCAGCAGTCAGGTCTGTTTACAAGGACCTTCTCAATGTCTTCTCCATTTACCTGTTGCTGCTGCTGCTGCTGCCGCTGGAATCTGGGAGGAAGTGACTTCTGGTACTTGCTGAACTCCTGTGCAGGGGACCCAGCCTCCCTGGCCCCCTCCTCACTGCTGCCATTCTGAGCCACAGCCGCAGGAACTGTGGGGGCCTCTTCTGAAAGTGTGTTGGGGGATTCCTGGGCAGAGAACTCAGGGGAGCCTAGAGAACAAATAACCAGAGAAATGGCTGCAGTGAGCTCACAAAAGCTTAGTCGACCAAACGTTTAACAGCAGCTGCTTTTTACTGTTGCACTGCCACCACTGCCAGGCTGGTCACATTCTCAAGCCCTGGCACTGTGCTAATGCTCCACAGGCTTGAGCTCATGGGCTCCCACGCCATCACCACCACCACCACCTCAGGCTCACCCCACGGACTCACACCAAAGCCATCCCCTTCCTGGACTCTCCAGGCCCACCTCAGCATGGACAGTGAGACCGACACGGGCTTCACTCAGACTTCAGGGAAAGGAAATGGACACAGGAAGGCTGCCAATTTCTGAGTTCCTGGCCCAGAAGGGCACTGATGGCTATCAGACAGGCAATACGACCCCCATCTGAGAGAGTTTCAGGGACTGAAACTAACATCAGGGCCTTCTCTCCTGCAAAGAGCTGGTTTGCAGTTGATTTTTTTTAATCACAAAGAACAGAGCTGATTCTATTCTTTAACAGCACTGCAGGAAACACTTCAGCACACAGAGCTGTCAACGTCTCTGACGCAGCCCTGCTGCCCAGGCCTTTTAGTGTGAATGCTTAAAAATGTATATAACACGCAGGTAGGCTTCCTTCCACATCCTGTACAAGGACCCTGTGCTTTCAGTAAAGTCCTGCAGCACCCGCACCTTTGGTTGGGCAGGGGCAGTAGTGAATGACAATGACGACAAAATGGGCACCATTACCAGCACATGCGTGCTTTTTATATCCAGAAACTGCCAAGTGCTTCGTGTGCATCACCCCATGTGGCCCTTCAGCATGCAGGGAAGGGCAATACTGTTATCATCCCATTTCACAGATGCCAAAACAAGCTCCAAAGAGTTGAGGCGCGGGGCCAGTCAGTGTTAGTGGTTGAAACAGGCTGTGAATCTAGGTACTTGGCCCAGGCTGGAACTCTTAACGACAGCTGCTTCCCAGTATCCTCTAGCCGTAAGCCACAGGTTGTACTTGGAAGCCAGGGAGATGCAAACACAAGTCAGTGAACCCAGCCACCAGGGCTTCCAGTTCGTGGGGCAAAAGCTACCAGCTTACCTTTGCGGACAACAGGGCCATTCTCCTGTGGGGGCACCTTCTCGGTGCCCGGAGACCGGGGCACTTCCTTCTCCACCTGCTTCTGGGCCTCGCTTGCCTTCTGAGCCTGCTTACACTTCTGGTCCAGCTGTTTGAGTTTGGCAGCACAGGCAGCCAACCTCTCCTCCCGGGCTCGGCGCTCCTCCTCCTCCCGGCGTTTCCGGGCACGTTCCACGGCCTCGGACATCTCTGACTGGATGAACTTCTGCCGTGGGGGTGGCTTGTCCTCTTTGTCTTCGACAGACTGTTGCCGGAACACGTTGCCCATTGAGGACTTCTGCCAAGAAAACAAAGTCTCTGATGAAACCAGGAGACAGGGCAACTCCCACTGCGGGGTCAATTCTCCTTCTCGAGCACCTTGAACACCTTTAAGAGGCCACCCAGTCCCACGCTAGGCAGACCTGAGTTTTAACCCTGCTCTGCCCTTGACTACATTTGGAATGAGATTTGGGCAAGTGACAACCTTCTGTACCTTAGCTCATTTGCAAACCGGGGATAATACAAGAAACCCTAGGGATTGTGAAGATGCCCTAGAATGTGACTGAAATGAAGACACATTCAGTACAGAAGTGTGGTCTCCACTCCTAAGGGGAACTGAAATTAGGGCTCCGTGGCTAATGGATAGGCTGAAAAACACACCTTCACCATTTCTCAGTCACAAAGCCACTCTACTCCCTTCCCCATGGATATGGGTAAACCTCTGGGCATAAAGAGCCACGAGAAATGAAAATTCATAGCTAGTGTATGGTTTGAAGGTGATTCTTTATATAAAAACAAAAAAGCATCTCTAAAAACAACTCCTGTGGATGTTCCATCCACCCCGCGTCTCTCACTGGCTGCCAGTTACTGGACAGCTTTGGTCAAATGAACGTGGAGAGAGAGAGACCCAGCTAATCACAGGTACAGAGCCCCTCCAGTGCCCAGGGTACCTGGTAGTCAGGGCCTGACGCCCAGCTGTGAAGCTTCCTGGATGGTGGCTGAGGTTCCGGCACCTTCCGGATAACCCGGGTCATGCCCCCTGTTTCACCCCAGTCCTTTCCTTCCTCTTGGGTCCTCTTGGTATCAGCACTGTCTACAGAGCTCATTGACAACTGCCGCTGCCTTCTTGGGTCCCAGCTGTTCCTACGACAAACCACATGATGTGAGTTTTCCCCGTCAGCCCAACATGGTCTGATCTTACTAGCCAGAGGCACTTAGCTGTCTATACACCAATTTCCTTCATTAGAACAGATCTAACCCCCACCCGCACAGGGGTGACAGGACATGCCAAGAACACCAAAATTCAGCACCAAAATTTACCAAATCACTCTCTCACACAAAGCTCCAGCTAGGATGGTCCACACCCATTACTTCATCTACTGGTGTGGGGGGGAGGGGAGGACCTCACTCTCCCCATTTTAGAGAGCTGAAAAGAGTCTGAGAGAGGTTGGGAAGCTGTTCCCAGGACTCCAGGTGAAGGTTCTCCTTCCCTGTGCTTTGCATAAAAAAGGGTGCAGAAAAATGCCCCCCAACAGTGAAAAAGAGCTCACTGAATGATGCCACAATAAAGAGCCAGAGGAGAAAAGCAAAGCACACAGTATGGACAAGGAGGGATTCCAAAGGGAGGGTGGAAGAGCAGGGAGCTGTGCAGTGCTCACCTTTACATGCAACAGGGTAAACACCGGCACCGGGCAAAGCGCACGTGCATGTGCATATACTGAGCCATCCTGTATGCAGAAGGAGTGTGCAGTAACCTAATGGGAGTCTAGAGAACAGCAAGGCCCAGGTCCAGCTAATCCGTGTGTGTCTGCACATGTCCATGCACACACATGTACGCAAGTCAGGGGAAGGTGAGGCAGGCAAAGTAGTTAGGAGATCACAGCAGGACAACAACTGCTAGTGACTCCTGACTTCACTTTGAGAGACATGAGAGACCACAGTAAGGTTTCTGACCCACCAGAAAAGACCTGTGTCTTCAGAAGACAACTAGGCACAGTGTGAGGGGTAGGAAAATAAGATGAAAGGAGGGAGACACGCTGGCTGACCTATGCACAGTCCAGAAAAGCAACGATGCTGGTTCCATGGCCCCAGACACAGTGAACAGGAAGGGAAGGAGTCGAGGGAAGTTTCAGGAGTCATCATGGATGGGGAAACGAAGATGTCAGAGGGGACTTGGAGCTTGTCGTAGGAGTCTCTGGGGGTTGGGCATCATCAACCAGCTCAGAGAATATCATAAAAAGGGCAGGTTTAGGGATGAGGTGCCCTCAATTTGAGGTGTCCTTGGTCATGGCTAGTAGCAAAGCTGGGTCCATGTCTAACTCTTTCAGTTGAATATTCAATTAACATCAACTGAAAGAGATAAGAACAGAGAGAGTGCCCTACTGCTCCAATAAATCTGCAAAATTTTATGCCTTTGTTTTTGCCTTAAATCCTTGGCCACATTTCCTTCTGAGCTCAGTGTTCCAAGAACTGACCCACAGATAGTTCCCAAGTGCATCAAGCAGCATGAAAAAAAATTACAGAAGCCTCAGTTACTTGTGTTTCATCAGAGTGGCAGAAGAGCATTACCAGCTTCCTCCACAAGAGGGCACTTAGTCGGGAGCTTTGCCGTGAAAGATGGAACACAGAGAGGGCTTGCAGACTAGCCTGCGCACACAATCAGTGACAATAAAACAAAGGGACACATTAAAGCACTCCTACCTAAAAAACACACATTTTCTAGGAAAGCACCGTAAGTCCAATACGTGACATACAAAGAAACCAGGAAATTCCACACAAAGGAAAATGTTCACATTTGCTGGTACTCAAAAAAAAAAAGCAAATTAAGGCAACCAAAGGCACTATTTTTAAAAGTACTAGCCAGCCCCAGACGGTTTGGTTCAGTGGGTAGAGTGTCGGCCCACAGACTAAAGGGTCTCGAGTTCGATTCCAGCCAAGGGTATGTACCTCGATTAGCACTGTGCAGGAGGCAACCAACCGATGTGTCTCTCTCACATCAATGTTTCTCCCCCCCCCAAAAAAANAAAAGCAACGATGCTGGTTCCATGGCCCCAGACACAGTGAACAGGAAGGGAAGGAGTCGAGGGAAGTTTCAGGAGTCATCATGGATGGGGAAACGAAGATGTCAGAGGGGACTTGGAGCTTGTCGTAGGAGTCTCTGGGGGTTGGGCATCATCAACCAGCTCAGAGAATATCATAAAAAGGGCAGGTTTAGGGATGAGGTGCCCTCAATTTGAGGTGTCCTTGGTCATGGCTAGTAGCAAAGCTGGGTCCATGTCTAACTCTTTCAGTTGAATATTCAATTAACATCAACTGAAAGAGATAAGAACAGAGAGAGTGCCCTACTGCTCCAATAAATCTGCAAAATTTTATGCCTTTGTTTTTGCCTTAAATCCTTGGCCACATTTCCTTCTGAGCTCAGTGTTCCAAGAACTGACCCACAGATAGTTCCCAAGTGCATCAAGCAGCATGAAAAAAAATTACAGAAGCCTCAGTTACTTGTGTTTCATCAGAGTGGCAGAAGAGCATTACCAGCTTCCTCCACAAGAGGGCACTTAGTCGGGAGCTTTGCCGTGAAAGATGGAACACAGAGAGGGCTTGCAGACTAGCCTGCGCACACAATCAGTGACAATAAAACAAAGGGACACATTAAAGCACTCCTACCTAAAAAACACACATTTTCTAGGAAAGCACCGTAAGTCCAATACGTGACATACAAAGAAACCAGGAAATTCCACACAAAGGAAAATGTTCACATTTGCTGGTACTCAAAAAAAAAAAGCAAATTAAGGCAACCAAAGGCACTATTTTTAAAAGTACTAGCCAGCCCCAGACGGTTTGGTTCAGTGGGTAGAGTGTCGGCCCACAGACTAAAGGGTCTCGAGTTCGATTCCAGCCAAGGGTATGTACCTCGATTAGCACTGTGCAGGAGGCAACCAACCGATGTGTCTCTCTCACATCAATGTTTCTCCCCCCCCCAAAAAAATAATGGGGGGGGAGTGGTAGCCAATAATGTGGTAAAGGCCTGGGGGGGGGTAGAGGGGGCAGAAGGGGGAAATAGGGGACATCTGTAATACTGTCAACAATAAACTTAAAAATGATGATTATCTCTGGGTTTAGGGTTAAAGGATTTCTGCCTTACTTTTAATTAAACATGTTTCTGTCTTTTACAAAACATATTATTCATACGGCTTTTAAAAATAAAAATATGTCAAGTGCAAAATAAAAGTGCTGGTCAGTCAATACTACTGATACTATGATAAAAAACAAGAAGGGCTAGAGTACAACGAAGTATTTTCCCAAGGGCATTATGAGTAAAATTAGTCCAATAAAATTATCCAAAAAAAAGAGGGAAAAGATTAAATTGGTCTAAAAGGTTCAGGAAACCTGGCCTATACTGCATACAGCTTCTCCCACCTCCCCGAAGACTCCCAGCATGCTTCTATACACACATTCCAGGCTGAGGGCAACCCTGGAGGAAAGGAGTAAGTTGAACCCAGATAGTTTCCCAAACTCGCTTGGCCACAGGAGGCTTCTGGGGCCTAACACCCATAATCAACCTGCAGAAAGCATGGTCTACACCACATCCTCCGGGAAGTACTGGAACAGTGGTCACAATCACTAGGAATCAGCTTGCTACACCTGGATGCAAATCCTGGCTCCATTCTCCAATGGCTGTCCCCAAAGCTTAGCCCGCTCATCTGCACAATGAAACAGTATCTGCCATGTGAGGTTGCTGGAAACTAGTAAACACACTTGGCATGGGGCCAGCACCCAGCAATACTGCGGAGCATAAAGTGGCACTGGAGCGTGCCACAGGCAGGGGTGCAGAGCCTTACCACTGAGGCCTGCCGTCCGTCACGGCGTCTTCCTCCTCCTCATCATCACTGAACTTCAGCTTCTCAGAGTAGTCCACTTCCTCATGGAGGCCTGCAGCAGAGGTGAGGCAGGAAGGAGGGGAAAAGATGAGGATTTCAACTGCGCAGAGTGCCACGGGGGATTCCTCCAGTCTGGAATCATGCCACCCAGCTGCCACCACCGGAACGGCAGAAAAAAGTGAAGGGCAGTTCTGGCTTCTGGTGACAGTACAGCAGCCTGGTCAGACTAACCGTCCCCCACATAACAGTTCTTAAATTTGGGCAAAATATTTTAAAAAGGTATTAGAAGGTGCAGGAGAGTGAGCAAAAGCAGGCGGAATCCAGACAGGCATTTACCTTAGCAATACAGAGGCTCTGCCTGCGAGATCTGCCCAGGGCACTGCTCCCCACACCCTGAGTGGTGTAGGTAGCAGACAGTGTCCATCAACTGATGAATGGGTACACAAAAAGTGGAAGATCCACACAATGGAATTGCAAGTGGCCATAAAAAAAGAATACTGACATGCTACAATGTGATGAACTTTGAAATCATTATGCTAAGTGAGAGAAGTCAGATACAAAAGGCCACAATATTGTATGATTCCATTTATAAGAAATGTCCAGGTACAAATCCACAAACACAGAAAATATAGATTTAGGCCCTGGCCGGTGTGGCTCAGTTGGTTGAGTGTCATCCCGTGCACCAAAAGGTTGCTGGTTCCATTCCTGGTCAGGGCACATGCCTGGGCTGTGGGCTCAATCCCTGGTAGGGGACTTGCAGGAGGCAGCTGATCAATGTTTCATTCTCCCATCAATGTTTCCCTCCCTCCCTCTGTCTCCCCCTCCTTTCTCTCTCTCTTAAAAAATTTTAAAACTATTCTTAAAATAAAAAAAATTAAAAAGGCATCAATCCAATTAAAAGGTAGCATTAAATTTGATGGAAAAGCAAGTACAACTATGTGCTGTCTTCCCAATAGTCACTTTAAATACAACCACAAAAGGTGTGTGCGGGGAAGATGGACAAAGACATATGGTGAAAGCAACAAAGCCAGAGCAATGACACTGGCCCGGGCAAATCAGGCTCCAACACAGGAAGTGCTACTAGAGGAGAACACCTGACAACAATTCAAGGGTCAATGTCAGAGTCAAAAATCATAAATGTGCATAAGCCTAATAAGAGCTTCAAAATAAATGAAGCGAAAACAGGAGAAAGAGATAAATCCCCAATTATAGTAGAAAGTTTAACACTTTGTTTTCAGTTACTGATAGAACTAGACAAAAACATCAGGAATGTATAGAATCTGAATGACACCATTAACCACCTTGACTAACATGACCTCTGTAGAACAGGGTACCAAACAGCTGTGGAATACACATTCTTTCCAAATGCATTTGGGACGTTTACGAAGACAGACCAGATCTCGGTCATAAAATATGCCTCAAGTCAAAAAGATCTGAAATTATCTGACTCTAAAGAATTAAATGAGAAATCTAGAAAGCCCCAATAATTAAAATGAACTGACCAATGGAACAGAAAACAATAAAAAAATGGAGGAAATTAAAGCCAGAAGCTGCCTTTTCATAAATATTAAAACTAATAAGCCCTTGGCAGAAATGAGTAAGAAAGAGAGAAAAAAACAAATTACCCAATTATCAGGAGTGAAGAGCGTCTACCACTTCAGATGCTACAGACATCAAAGGAAAAGGAATATTTTCAACAACTTTATGCCAATAAACTTAACTGTAAAGAAATGAACAAATCCTGTGAAAACATAGTTATCAAAAACTGACACAGGAATCTGAGCAACTGCATAACTAATCAAAGAAATAAAACTTTATTATCACAAATGTCTCCACAAAGAAAGCTCCGGGGCTAAACTGTTTCACTGGCAAGTTTTATCAAGCATTAATGAAAAAAATAATACCAATCTTACAAAAACCCTCTCAGAAAGTAGGGAAGGATGGAACATTTTCCAGCTCATCTCACAAGCCCAGCATAACCTGGCATCAAAACCCATCAAAGATATTAAAAGAAAAAAATTATAGACTAATATCCACCAAGAACCTTTATAAAATATCAGCAAATTGAATCAAGGCATACAAAAAAGTGGAGTTTATTCTAAGAATGCAAGGATGGTTTGGCATTGAAAAAAAGCCAGGGTTCTTCCACTGCCCCACTGCGGGTCTGAGCGGCTTGGGCGGTGGGAGAAGCAGCAGCAGCCGGGCAGCCCAGGTTCAAGGATGCTCTAGGCGCGCCGAGGCCCTCAGGCCCTCAGCGAGCACCCGCTCGGCCGCCTCGGTGCCCAAAAGGAAGGTCAGCTCTGCTGATGGGGCAGCAGAGGAGCCCAAGAGGAGGTCTGAGAGGCTGTCAGCGAAACCTGCTCCTGCAAAAGTAGGAACAAAACCAAAAAAGGCAGCAGAAAAGAATATGCAAACGAAAAAGGGCCAACAGAAGGGAAACAGGCGGAAGTGGCTGACCAGGAACCTAAAGATCTCCCTGCGGAAAATGGAGAAACTGAAAAGGAGGAGTCCAGCCTCGAGTGAAGCAGGAGAGAAGGAAGCCACGTCTGACGAACATCACACGCACTGTCCCACCAGTGGTCCGTCTCCCTTCTTGGACACTCCAGAGGAATATTTTTATCACCTATTTTGTAAATGCAAGTTTTTAGTAGCTCTAGCAACATTTTTGAGAAGGGAATTCCACCTCATCCTTTCTTTTTTTTTTAAGTGTAAATGCCCTTTTTCTAGAAGTGAAATCATGTGCTAGTTGTTTATTTTTTGGTAGAACCAGAAAATCATGGGATATTGAATATGGGAGACTTTGATTGTCCTGGGTGGGTGTCAGCTTAACATTCCATAGATGGGGCAGTTTTTATACCCTATAATACAAAACATACTAAATGGCAATTTGGAGTCAGTTGTGCATTTAATATGCCTTGAACATTTAAAATTATTTCTATTCCCATGTTTGAGGTAGAATTGTTTCGTAAAGAAAACCACTCCTTGGTCTTGGCTCTCCCTGTGAGAATTTCATGCACTCTGTAACATCTTCAGTGTAGTGGTCCAGTTTTCCTAGTAACTTTGTTAATGTGCCGTGAAAGAGCGAACAATTGATTACGTAGCTAGCATATATGACATTAAATTGTGAATCAGTGGGACTTTGGTGTAACAGCACATCAACATTTGAAGACAGTGGTACTTCATACTCTAGTAAGGGAAATTAGCCTCCACATTTTAAGCTGGAAAGTCACTGGGATAACTGTTTAGAAAAAAATCTTTACATTTTTGGTACCTATGTCAAGAATTGTGTACAAATTGAAATGTCTGTGTACTTATCCTCAAAACAAACAATAAAATTGCAATTATGGGGGGAAAAAAGTAAATAAATAAATGCAAGACAAGATTACCAAAATAAAGGAGGAAAACTATATGATTACAAAGACAGGGAAAGCATGTAGCAAAATGCAATACACACCCATTAATGATTTAAAAAACAAAACCATTCAGCAAACCAGAAATAGAAGGGAACCTCCTCAATCTGATAAATAACATATGGAAAAAGCTACAGGTAACATCATATTTAATGGTGAAACACTATACCTTTTAATCCTAAGATCAAAAACAAAGAACCTGAATCTACATTGTACTGGAAGCACCACAGTGCAACAGAGCAAGAATTAAAAGGCACAGAACCTGAAAAGGAAGGCATAACACTGTCCCTATTTGTAGGCAACATGATGGTTTATATAGAAATACTAAGAAATCAACAGAAATTAGAAAAACTAGTGAGTACATTCAGCAAAGTGCCTGGTACAAGGTTAACACAGAAAACCCAACTGTATTTCTACATAATAACATCAAACACTTGACAATGAGTTTTAAAAAAAGGAACAACGCCATTTTTAACAGCACCAAAGGCTGCCAAATAAATACCCAGGAATGAACGTAACAAGAGATAGTCAAGACCTGGACCGTGAAAACTATCAAGCACTGCTGGGAGAAGGAAAGACCTGATAGATTCACCAGGTCCCCGGACAGAAGATTCAAAATTAGGATGTCATCTACCCAGAAATAAATTCAACACAATCCTGACCAAAACGCCTGCAGGCTTTTTGTACATACTGCTAGGCTGATTCTAAATTTAAACAGGAATGAAAAAAACTTAGAATAGTCAAAGAATCAAAAAAACAAAACAAGCCCTGGCCGGTGTGGCTCAGCTGGCTGGAGCCTCATCCTGTGCACCAGAGTCGAGGGTTTCCCAGTCAGAGCCATACTCAGGTCTCGGGTTCCTCTCTAAAAATCAGTGAAAACATGTCCTCGCGTGAGGATTAAAAAAAAACACACACAAAAACACAAAAAAACAAAGTTGGGAAACTTACACTACCTGGATTTTCAAATTTTGTCTGTCCGTTTATTGTCCATTTGCTTGCACTGCCTAAACTTCAGACTTACTGTAAGGCTCCAGCGTGGCGCTGACACAGGGGGAGCAAACAGGTCAATGGACAAACAGGCCCAGAAAGAGATCCACACTTACAAGAGGTCAGCTGAGTTTTGGCAAAGGTGCCAAAGCAATTCAATAGGGGAGGGAAAGTCCTAACAACAAATGGTGGGGAGCAAGTGGATGTCCTTATGGAAAAAAGTGAACTTCAACTCCCACCATACACCACACACATCAGCTCATTCACAATGGGCCCGGGCCCTGTGCTCAGTGGTCAGAGCGTCTGCCAGAGCACAGAAGGGTCAAGGTTTCTATTCCTGGTCAGGGCACAAACCCAGGTTTTGGGTCAATCCCCAGTCGGGGAGCATATGGGAAGCAGCTGGTCAATGTTTCTCTCTCAAATCCATGTTTTTCTCTCTCCCCTTCCCTTCCTCTTCTCTCTCTAGAATCACTGAAAAAAAAACACATATCCTCGGGTGAGAATTTTAAAAAAAAGAATAGACAAGGCAAACTAAGGGAAAAAATATTTGTGAAATGTAAGTCACAAAGGACCTGTATCATATCCCCTCAAAAGGGAAAAACAGATACACCTGTAGCCAAAGAGCACGCAAAAGCGTGTTCACGGTCACTAGGCATCCACAAAACGCAAATTAAAAAGCACATGTACCACTACACACCCACTAGAATGGCTAAAATTACACAGACTGACAGGAAAGTGTGGCCACTGCTGGGAATGTGCCATGGCACGGCCACCACGGACAAGGTCAGAGTGGCCCTTGTGAACCTATCGCACACCTACCCTTTGACCCACTACCTCTCCTAGATACGTACTCAGGAGACATGAAAATATTGTTCATAATGGAACTTTTGAATGGACCAACAAATTAAAGTATACTGATACAATGAAATATAGCCTAGTAATTAAAAGCAACTACTGATTTATATAACATTGATGAATCTCAAAAAAGTGACACCAGAGGAAAAGCTGCATGACTGCACCTGCCTGAAATTGTCTAAGAGACAAAACTACTCCATGGTCTGATTCTCCAGAAGAGTGATCAGCCCTGGGCCACCGGGGAGGCAGGGTGACGGGAAGGCACTGGGGTTAGGAGGGAAAGGCTCTCTGTCTTGCCGGGGGAGTTTTACACAGGTGTATCCCTCTGTCAAAATTGTACAACCAAGATGTGTACCTTTCAATGTAATTAAAATTTACTCAAAAACAAACAAAAAGGATTATAAAAGAATATAATCAGGCTGGGGGTGGAAAGTGGGTGAAATGATAGACACAAGAATGGCAGAATGGTAGTACTTGCTTAAGCTGAGTGGTGGATAGCTGGGAGTTCATTACCCTATTTTTTTGGTTTAACTTTTCCATTATAAAAAGTCTCTAAAAAATGTTAACAGCAAAATCTACCATAGCTCTAAGATCAAGACCGAAGACCAAAAGGAGACACAGATGGCCCAATAAACAGCCACTGGTGTGAGTGCCAGCGAGGATCCACTCAGGGCACTGACGCTGCTCCCAAGCCGCACGTGCTCATTCCCCACTTGCCCAGGAAGACCACACGACGGATTTGCATCCTGGCTAGGCAGAGATAGGCTTCTGTTCTGCTTCTCTAAACCATTGGGTGTAAGGCCACCGAGAAACACAACCCACCTGCCCAGCCATCGTCGGCGTCGGTGTCCAGATCATCGAGGCCCTTGAGGTTTTCCGCATTGATGATGGTGGGTCGGGGAGCCCGCTCCACCAGCTGCCTTAGTGGGCGGGGCGGGCGAGTCATTCCCAGCCTGTTTTCTTTTCTGATGAGAGAAGAGTTAAAGACAGTGGACTTAGGTCAAGTACACATATGGAAGCAAAACCAAATACTTTTCAAAAATGAAGTCCTAGATTGCAAAGGTTCATATTTGCATTTAATATGTGTCATCTCCTTTGGAAAGAAATACACAATGAACTAATGCATCACAGAGAGAAGTCCTGCCTCGTTCTGCGTTTTACTGCTCAGTGCTAATGCCTAAGGTAGCAGCAATCGGCATGTGCCACAACTTTGACTGTGTCAGGACCTTGAAGTCATAATCCAACCTCTCACCCAGCCTGGTCCCGCCGTCCCACACACCCTGGGTCTGCATTGGTTTTTAGGTGCACTGTGGTCTTTAGAAGACAATGCACTTTCATTCGTCAGCCCATCATCTTGTCCACTGGGGCAATCTCTACATGTGTGACTACAATGCCACAGCCTTACCCGTCTTGGTCATTCATCTGGAACTGTCTAAAAGGAACGCGGGGCTCCAGGCGGAGCTGGGGAAGGGGGAAAGATCCTCGTTCCACCGTACCCTGGTTCTCTGACGACTGTGGCGAACACATCTGAAACATAACACCAATGAATAGAATTTCCTGGTAATGACCCAAATTCTAAGTTCCATTCGCATTAGAATTTATTTTGGAAAATGAGAAATGGGAAAAAGGAACAGGAAATCTTGGGGTTTCCCATTTAATCTGCCACCGTCTCCCCCATTTCTCTCCTGTTGTTAGTGAACATGGGCCTATGTCTTAGGGAAAACCTGCCTCTCCTTTGTCTAAAGAACCAAGGCTGACATAGTGTCCAGAGCAGCAGGGAAAGAAGCCAGAGGACTTCAAGATTTGAAGAGGAGGCAAGAAAGTGGAAACTAATGGAAACCTCCAAGGCAGGGTATCAGGGCAGAGAGTGAAATCAGGAGGGAGAACCTAGGTGGACATTCAGTCACGTGGAGCAGGCTCTGTGGGACATGAACAAGCCAACCTCGTGGGGAAATGCACACTCTGAAGACTTACAAAAGCAGGAAGCATGTCATGGTATGTAGGTGGGTGGTATGCATTTCCCATGAACTGTGAAGCCCCTTTGCGAACAGGCTGAGCCGGGCGGAGAGAGGGGTCCTTAGAATCGCTGGTGCATGCCGAGGAGGGGGCTCCGTCTCCCGTACTCGAGTTCCTGCTGCCCAGCTCAGTTGGGGAGGCGCTCAGAGACGTGGCAGAAATTATGTTTCGCCCACCGCCCTCCCTCCAGCTTGTCACATCTGGAAATTGAAAGGGGCAAAAGGGAAGAGGAAAGAGGAGGGGGGAGGAGGGATTGTATGAGGTTCTGAAGGTCAGGGGACCCCCCTCATTCACCAAAAAACTCCCCCCAAAAAGTGAGGAGTCGAGTCCACTGCTCAAGTCTGTCAGGGAAGATGGGGGGCAGACACCTGGCCAGTGAGTGTGAACTTGCTGAGGGAAGTCTGAGTGTAAGAGAAATATAAAACAAGGTCCACTCAGAGAGATGGCGTGTGAACAAGATGTGGTCTTCACTGATTAACAGAAATCACATCGCCCACAGAGCTAACAGCAGAGGAATCAGGCAGCCCCAATGGAAACAGCCTTGGGTGACTTCTTCCACAAACACCACCCAGCCCCCAGAGGACCAGGACTGGACTTGACATTAAAACTAGTGAGTTCTGACACATTTTCAAACTCTGCTTAGCAGTGGCACCTCTAGTCAAAGAGGCCTCCCTAGTTCATAAGACAAAGCAGAACCACTCTCACCCAGGGGTCGTAGAAGGGTCTGGGCCTGCCACAGGCCTTGGCCCCCACCTGTCCTACACGAGTCAGAGGGGCCCTCCTGCAGGGCATAGGTGGAAACCTGCCGAACCACCTAACTTTCCTGATGATGCCTTCCACTGCCCAACGTAGCAAGCTCTGGTGGAACTATAGGCCAAGGAGAAGCTGCATGAGACAAATGACTGTTTTTTTCAGTCAGCTTTTGGTTAGGGGTTGAAACATGAAAGGTCCCTGAGTATGGAACCCCTCAGAGAAAGACTGAGGGATGGGAGCCACAAAACAGGGCTCTGCTCCTGCTTTCCAACCCCACACGTGGTCTTGGGGAAGCCCTGTCTGTGGTTGCCCTGCTGGCCATCCACTTCTTCATCTTCACAAATGAGGAGATAGAACTGATCCCAGAAGCTCCTCCTAGTTCGAAATTTTTACCATCCTATAAAGCAGCTCATCTTAATTAAACCCAGGAAGTTATAGTTCTTGGCCTACGGAACTTGATGCTGTCTTTGGAGTAGATGGAATAATACAGGGCAGGCCACTGAGAAAGTGGTGCGTCTAAGCAGAGCTGCATAATGACCATTTCATCTACAGGACATCAGCCCTGACGCTGGGCACCTTGGAGATTAATCAAGACAAACAAACAGAAGTCTCTCATATTTCAAGACCTGATCAAGCACCTCCCACCCACCACAACACACACCTTAAAAAAACAAGGGCCATTTCAGAATCTCTGGTTAGAGCAGATGGAAAATCTCATTCCTAAACACCTTAAACGCTAACCACCCAACACCTCTAAAAAAATGTTACCAGCAAGTTATCACTACACACACCTGCCCACTCCTTGCCCAGACCTCAGAGGAGGGCCGTGGAGACCAGCACAGAGCAGGCTACCTAAGGGAACATGTTAAAAAACAGAGATTCTAAGGTGGCTGAGGATGGGGAGGCCTGGAAATCAGACTTCATAACATACTCATGAGGTGATCCTGCCACCATTCAGCAAGGTTTGGGCACCGCTGGTTTAGAAAACCAGCTCCCGAATCAGGGGGCCAAAGTATTGGCTATTGGTCTGTCCACCCTTGCCATGACAACCCAAGCATAGCAGAACCATCTGACAGCTAGGAAGGCCTCACCCGACCCAACAGACAAGAAAGAAGGGGTGACCTCCAGACCAGCCTAGGGAGAAGTCCAAAGGAGGCAGAGATCGGGCAAAGGGTCAACAGGCTTGCTTTCCAGGCAGGGAGCCTGGCTCAGGAGTGACAGTCTTCAAGAAGTTGCACACTGCTGTCTGACAGGGCAGGAAGAAAGGGAGACTGCTGTTTTGCCTGTGCCCAGACAGGCTGCAGCTCACTTACTCTGAGGGCGGAGGCTTGGTCCTGGCCCATACGACAGATCTAAGACGCCCTTTTCTTTGCCAGCCTTGTCCTGCCCTCCAGCTGCTTTCAGCGTCGGAAATTCCTCGGGAGAGAAGGATAATAGTCGGCTTGAGCCCCTTAAACCTGTAAAGAAACCGGGAAGATTTATGGAGCAAATGAGGGCAGCACCAACAGTCCTCAGCTTTAGCAACTCCAAGCACCAACAGCCACGCCGGCTGGGAGTGGGCTTCTCAGGAGTGTGCCGCGCCCTGCTGGCATCTGTGCTGATGGAGCGGCACTAGGGCCCCCCGAGGGTCCCAGTCCCAGATGCTAACTGACAGGAGCTAGTTGCAAAGGGTATAGGGTAAAATATGGCAGCTGCTCCAGCCAGGATCCTTCCTGGCTCCTGGAAGAAGGTAGTAAGGTCCTTCTGGGGGCCCAAGAAGCAGACAAGAGCGGTCTTTGGCAAAATCAGCCCAAGGAAGTCAACTGCTTTCCCATGGAGGTAATGCCAGGAGAAGGTAAGGTACCCCTCCCAAGGCCCCGGCCCTAGATTTACACTCATGAGCACCTCCTCATTTATCTGTCCTTTACAGTTTTCCATTTTCTACAAAGTTCCTCCAGCCCTGCACAGCCAAACATCTTACTGTCATAATCCTGGGAACAGTTTATTTGTTCCTTCGTTCACTCCCCAACACTATAACCTCCTCTAAGAGCCTTTTCTTCGTCTCATTCCTCTTACAGCACTGAGCACGGGGAGCTGGCAATCACCTTCTGGATGAAGAGAGGACAATAAATGATGCATTTAAGGGTCAGGAGTGAGAGCCAGTCCTTTATCTGGACACGCAGCCCATGTCCAGCACCAGGTGCACTAATAGTAGTGTCACACAGCACAATGTCCACTGTGACACACCTTGCTCCCAATCGCCCCCTTGGTATTATTCTTGGCACCACTGATTCTCAGACCTGTCAGCCAAGGCAGACTTTGCCAGAAAGATGCAGTGGATAGTGTAGAAGCACAGGCAGCAATTCATTCACTCTCCCAATTAATAAACAGGTCCGGAGTCAAATAAACCTGCCAGGAGGATACCTGGATGCATTCTTCACCAGGGATGAGCCTGAGAGACAGTCTCCAGGGGCCACAAAGGAGCCCCACTGCTCTGGAAAGGAGGCCTTGACTCACACAGTTGCTTCACTATGCTAAGAACTGAACAGATGAAACAGGAAAGGCATGCTTTAGAAATATGGTACAGCCTGGCAGGGTATGGTTCAGCAGTTGAGCATCGACCTAGGATTCAGGAGACTGCGGTTCGATTCCCAGTCAGGGCACATGCAGGGTTGCGGGCTTGATCCCCAGTTGGGGGCGTGGAGGAGGCAGCCGATCCATGACTCTCTCGTCATGGATGTTTCAACTCTCTCTCCCCCTCTCTCTGAAATCAATAAAGATATATTTTAAAATAAAAATAAATAAAAATATGGTACACTATTTGCCCTGGCTGGGTGGCTCAGCTGTTTGGAGCAGCATCCTGCATAGTATACCAAAAGGTGGTGGATTCAATCCCCGGTTGCAGAGGCAACAGATTGATGTTTCCCTACCTTCCGCTCTCTCTAAAAATCACTAAAAACGTATTTCAGGTGAGGATCAAATGCCCAGTACTTCTCGGCCTTGCAGTCACGAAAGTGTTATCATAAGCACTGAGTTAAACTTGTCCTCCACAGATGAAAGCGTAAAGAGAACTCAAATCTCACATCAAAGTGCCACTGCTAAGGTTTCAATGTCCTGTAATGTTCACCCACCGATGCCTTGTGCCATCTTCTCTGCCAGGAGACACTAAGGCAGTAAAATCAGGGGCTTCTTCTAAGCTCCCAAATCAAGCTGTTGGTGGTGTCGCTGGCACCAGGCCCACGCGCCATGAGCCTCTGGCCTCTGCCCCAACCCCACCATCAGACCTCCTGGTCTTTTCAGGTGAAACAGACCAATCAGCCACTTTCAACACGGACAGAGTCTATCAATTCAGAAAGAGTCCTTTGGAAAATGTCTGTGGGTGACCTACCCCCAAATCCTCACAGCCTTGATGGCATTGCGAACGTGTGACCCCAGCACAGGAGGGGGACCCAGAAGCCTGATTCCCACCCCAGCCCCACCTGGGCCCAGCACGTGTCTGTTCTCTCCTCTTGGGCTGCAGGTTCTGCCACCTCCCAGACAAGTTGTCGCATGTTTACAAAGTATTTTGCTGTGGTTTAGAATTGCTCTAGCAATCACTTTGTTTCTGACAGGTAACACAATCACAAGGTGCAAAAGGAAAAGGCTATAAAAAGGTCGAAACTGAAGCCTTTCTCCAGCCTGTGTCCCACCTGCACTTCGGATGCCCTCAGAAGTAGGTACTTCCCCTCCTCGTGTTCCCTTCCATACTTTTAGAAGTGTATTTTTCGTCACCCCAATTTTCTGCATGAATGTAACACACTCTATAAACTCTTGTGCACTTTTTTTCACTGAAGAATATGTCCTATAGATCTCGTATCAATAGAAAACTGACTTTTTCCCTTATAGCTAACTAAATAGCATTTCATTCAAGTGCCATAAGTTGATGGACATTTCTGGTGACTGTTTCCAATCTTTTGCTATAAACATGCTGCAATGAATGATCTTGTGTGCATGTCACTGCATACATGGCAATACAATTTACAGGACAATCTCCTCACCCCAGAGCTGCCAGGTCAAAGGGGAGACGCACAGTATCTTGAGTGGCAGTGCCAAACTGCTCTCCGTAGGGGTTGTACCCATTATACTACTTTGTTTTTAGTCTTTGTGGATCTTTCTAAATAAAAATACATTTGATATACTTAAAATCTTAATCTTGCAGAAAGACTGGCTACAAAAAGCCAAAGAACCACTGTCAACAGTCTAGTGACTGCTCATTAAAAAGCCTGTTACGAGACCTAATTTGAGGGCATTGAAATGCTTGTCACTGGCCTCCCACGCCCTCTGCTAACCTTGTCCCCTCCTCCTCACCCTTCACACAAGCTGAGCTTTCCCTGCCCCCTGTGAGGTCAGGAGCAGTTGGGCTGTGCCCATCACTCCTCTGGCACATTAACTGTCACTCCCCACTGGAGACAGAAGAGAGCCTTCAACTACACTGTGACTCCAACCCAGAAGGAACATGTGTTTTGGGCAGGGGTTAGGGGAGGTCAGGGAAGGTGGGACAAGGAGCTGTTTTTCTAATATGCACTTCATAAAACATAGGTCTGGAGAGACCTTGGATGGCATGGCCATACAGCAGGCAGAGGGCAACTCCAGGACGGGGGCACAGGGTAAGAAGGCAGCCAGTGCTGTTTTCCAGAAGACTAACCCTGATACCAGCACTCCCAGCCCAGAGGTGGCACCCAGTTTGGTCTGCACAGTGTGCTAGAAATATTTGCACAAACACTGGAAAGTTAGAAGAGCTGGCTTCTCTCATAAATGCCCGCGACCCTGGGCCTGCGTTCTGGAATGGTTCCAGTCACTGGAGGGCCTGGTGACCTCTGCTGGCTCCGCTGTTCCATCTGGCCTTGGAGGCCACTGCCTGTTATTGTTCAACATTTGCATAGAACTCGGAACACGTTCCCCTCTACTTCTCTCCCCCACCTTCCTAATGAAGACCCACAGTAGCTGCTAGCCGACCCACTCCAAGGCTCCCAATGCCAGGCCAAGCACCAGCAGTGACACACCCCACACAGCCCCCTGAACGCTCTGCAGCTACTACCCAGCAGCAGGCGGCTTGGTCCCAGGGCTGGCTGATTCATAAACCCGGGTCTGAAGCGAACACCACAACTGCTCATAACACCTCCCTGCGGGTCCAGGAGAGAGGAAGGAGTGCATGTTGGCAACACTGCTGAGCAGATATTACTTCCAGCAGCAACACAGCGAAAGACAGAGTGACGGGGCCAGCCACCCAGTCCTCTCCACACACCTTAGCAGGGATGTCTTTGCCATAACACTCTATGAAATCCAAAAGTCAACATGCTTCCAAAATTGGCTCTGCCTCCCTAGGGCAAAGGCCAAGCCCCACAGAGCAGTGACTCAGGTGAACGGTTCCACAAAGCTTTAGGCCAAAGATAATCTAGACCCAACCAGAATGGTCCAGAAAAGGTATACATCCCTCTTGCCCCCTGCCAAGTGCCCACCCCCATGCACTTACCACCTTCGTGTCCTACTGGCTTTCCATTCAGCTGTGCCCATGACTTTGGTCCACCTGGCACTGAATTTGTGTTCTGAAAAAAGGAAGAGATTAGAAGAGAGCCAGCCCCGTCAGCCTGCGTCCATTCCCCGAGCCAGTTGGGATAAGGTGCTCACGGGCCACCCCTTAGGTTCCACCACGAGGCAGACAAGTCCACCACCACTTGCTGAGTGCATCAGCCATGGGAGCTTTGCAGGCAGCACCCCACGGGTGTAGCAGCCCATGTGTCAGTAACTGCCGGCCACGTGACTGATGAGGAACAGGATGAAGGGGCGTGACCAGCTGAGAGTCACACAGTCAGTTTCACAGCAACGCCAGGACTCAGACCCGCATCCACCTTCAGGCTGCAGTCTGGAACATTGTCAGGTCACCTCTCCTGCCCACACAGAGCTACTCTGTCTTGCTACAGAGACAAAGAACAGACCCCAATTCCAGCACGTGTCTCAAAAACTGTGTGCCGCTAACAGAACGTGAACACGGGAGAGCGACGTGTCTGATCCTCACCAGAGGGGCCATGCGCCTCTTTCCACAACCACTGCCCTTCTACAAAGCACAGCTGCCCATGAGGCTTCCTCCTCCACCAACTAGGACTTGCCTGGTTCAGGCTCAGTCCCACCTGACCACCTCTGCTTAAAGCTCACTAGGACTTGGCATTACGCTAGGCACACCGTCCAACCAAAGCCCCCCATGCCCTGGGAGGGCTCGTCACACCCCTGAGGCTTAGGAAGGAGTAACTCGATTTGGACACCCAGCCAGAGAGGCAGAACCAGGACCTGTCCCCATCTTGCCTGTGTCCAAAGCCCCTCTGGGTCCCCAACCACGGAGCTCATCTGCCTTTTTCCACAGCATTCAGCTTACCAGACTTCTCCGCCCACCAGAAGGTGAAGCTACAAAAACAGAGCTTGGTGCAGCCAAGTTTTATCACTTACTGGGTTAGGTACCAGATTAAATAACTACCCTTTCCCATGACCCCCCCTTTCCAGCCCACCCCCCATTGCCACCACCAGCACACACTCAAGGCAGCCGGCTATCTTACTTTCAGTGCAGAGTGACCAGGTCTAACAAACAAGCCATTTACTTATTGAAAGCTGCCCTAAATGCTTGATATGGTGGCCAGAATGGTCCTAGGTCTCTCCCATAAGACTACATGAGGGGGCCGTGCAGGTGGGGTGGCCACCGGTCCCTAGAGACCAGGGCCAACTCACAACTTCCCACCTGGTGTCGGTAAGCACCCACCAAGGGCACTCAACTGGAGAGAATGCCTGCAGGGCCCAGGGGTGGGTCCTGTTATTGTTGGTGACCTTCATCCCAGGAGTAGAACTATACAAACTCTGACTGAGGTGAGGTTTTACAAACTGGGAGTCTCTTCTTACCACCTCTGCATATGAGAAAACCAAGTAACAGCTGAAAAGAGCTGAGCATGGGGAAGGTGACCTGTGCTGCTCCAGAACGGGATCCCAGACAGTTCCCTAAGCAATTTCTTTCCACAGACGCCAGGCCCTATCCCAGACTCTCCCCTGGTGGGATCCAAGCACATCTATTTTCTTTCAACAAGCTCCAAAGGTGAGTTTGCTATACAGCCAGGGCTGAAGCACTGTGGCTCTACAATCTCACTTAGTTTCAAATCCTGAGGAACACATGAGTTCAACTCTACATACTCAGCAGCCCAAGTGGATTTAGGCCAATGAATAAGGAGCCTAAATCACATGAACATGGTTTCTTTTTTTCTCTCTTTAATTTCAAAAGCATAGTTCGGGGGGTGTCCCTCTGGCAAAGCTATAAACTTCCCCCACAGATGGGGGATGGTGTCTCAGACGTCCTACTGCCCAGGCAGCAAAACAAAACTAAAGTTCGGCAGTTCAAGTTGTTTTTCAGAGGGCTAGTTAGTGCTAAGAATCTGAGTTCTTCTGATCTAAAAGACTCAGACTTCTCATCCAGGGTTCTAGCTTCCAGCTAAGCAAGCATGAGCTCTGCTGATCTCTGTGGCCCACACAGTCTCTAATGGACTTGGTCTATTATAAGCTCTTGCTCAGTTAAATCATGCCTTCCTGTTTAGAAAACATTTTAAATGCATCAACAAATGAAAGGGTGATTATAGCTAGTATTTCCCAAGGTGGCTCTGAGACACCACTGGTCCCTAGAGACCTTGTTAAAAAGGTTTCCTAAGACAAATCAATTTGGAGACTGCTGTCCTTTATGTCGTCTTCTCAGAGAGCCAGAGCGCACATTAGCATATCAAAAATACCGAGATGTCCACCCGTAGGGAGCTTGCTTAATTCTGTTTTCCAAACTCACCTTTCTGTGACCTAACACATCTTGTCTGCTTATGGCACTTGTTTCCCTGGGACACATCTGGGGGATCCTGATCTAGCCTGTACCTACCTGAGCGACCTCACCTAAACGTAAGTCAGCAAAATCAAACTAGGTATATGTATTCTACTCTCCATCTGGGGTCTTCTCCAGAAGCTGCAGGTTAAATCACCTCATCAGTGACCATGACAATTTCCTGGGCTCATTTCCCAAAATCGCCTATCAAGGTTTGCCTTTGGTATAAGCAAGTCACTCAAAACCACCCTCCTCAGCAACAGTTCCTACCCCAGACAGGGGCACCAGGCAGCCCCAACGTCGACATCAGGATGGGATCCCCAGCACCTACCTCCTGACTGATTGACTGTGTCGGTTTCTGTAAATTGGAGACAGATTTCTGCAAACCCGGCTGCGGCAGCGACTCCGGCGGCTGAGAGGCCGTTGCACTGGAACTAGACAGAGGCAGGACATAGGATTAGATATGGCACAGGCCATGCAGACAAGATCCCTCTGCATTTCCAAAAGCTACAGCTGCTCACTGGGAGCAAGACCCCCTCTGGTCAATAGAAGTAGCACCTTCCCCAGGAGAAGCTTATGTTGGCAAAGACTAATGAGAAACAGAACCATGTCTGAGGTCTACTCACTAACATCTTTACAAGGCAGGACAGGTCTCTGCCTTCCTAGAGAGCCTCCATCTGCAAACACTGAAAGCTCATGTAAACAATGAAGTAATGGAGGGTTTGAAAATGGGGAAACTGAGTCACTCTAGGGAAGGGGCTCTGAGCCCCTTCCTCCTGACCAAGAGCTCACAGCTACTCAGGGGGCTGACTGCTTTGAAACAGCAGATTTAAAAAAAAAAAAGTTTTACCTTCTCTTAGCTTGTAAAAGAAATATATGCTTATAGTAAAAATAAATGTATAAATATATATAAAATAGAATCCGTCATCATCTCACCCTCCAGGGAGAAACTCTAAAGCAGATTTTTCTCTACATAATAGTTTTTTTTTAAACGCAAGTGGAATAATGCCATGCATACAACTCTGTAACTTGTTTTTTTACTTAATCTAACATCTTTCGTGACAATACATAGGGACCTACCTCTTTCTTTTAATAACACAGTATAATTGGATGGGCCATGACTTACGAATCTCCATTTTTTCCTATTACAAATATAACTGCAATGAGTATTTCTGTATAAATATCTTTGCACACTTTTGTGTAAGTAATTACGTAGTGTAAGTTCTTAGAAATGGAACTGCTGGATCAGAAGGTGTTTTGAAGTTTAAAAGATACTGCTAAACTGCCTTCCAAAAAAAGTTGCATCAGTTTACACCCCACAGGTAATCTTTTGAGGAGGTAACAAGAAGGCGTCCTGAAGGAAGGTTTCTGCTGACTCAACAGCCTTCCAGTCACTCTATTCAATTTGACAAGATTCGAGGAGGGTGGCCACCCACTTGGCTAGAATCCACCCATTGGCGGTGGTTCCTCTATACCTGAAGTTCAATCCCACATGACACTCTTTCAAGGTTCACTTAACCCAAGTAACTCATCACCACTCGTGACCATTACAAAATGAAAGCTACCGATCCCCTCACATGACCTTCTACCCAAAATAGGAGCTCCCAGGCAGTGTCACCTAAGTGTCCTCCCACTAAGCAACTGCGCCATTCTACCATCTCTTGATTCCCCCATGGCAGGCATGGCCCAGTGGCAGCAGAGCACCGGAGTCTGGGTCTGCGGCCCCCTCCCCCACACTCACTCCTCCCGGCCCGGCAGACACGCCTCAGCACGACCGGCCTCATGAGAGCTGACGCTGTCTGTGCCAACACTGGGTTGGGATGGATACAGGGAGGGAGCAACGCTTTGTCCTCTCTCTGGAACTTTCGACAGCACGGGCATTTCAATGCCTACACTGAAATGTGTAACATCCACTTAACTACAGAGTGCGCGGTGTTCACATTTGAATGGAATGGCAACAATAATGGCTGACATCTGCTGTGCACACCCCCCAGGCCAGGCTCTGTGCTGAGGACCTGGCTCATGTTATCTCATCTATTTCTTGTAACCACCAGGAGCCAGGTATTATTCTTACTTCACAGGACAATGAAGCTCAGAAGTCAAATGATTCTCCAGGTGCCATAAAACTAACAAACCGCCTGGCTGGGCACCGCCCACATGAGTCCATTCCAAAGCCACACTCTACCATCAACCCGTATGATCCCTAAGCAAACTGTCAGAAAAAATTTAAATAGCATTTAAAACTCTATTGAGGTTACTGCTACTTTATGACCATCTGGTTGAATTATCTGCTCACTCTCTACACCGTCTGAATACCTACAGGGAAGTTTTATAAAAGTTCGTGTGGCCATTTCTGGTGAGAGGAAAGGACACTGGTCAACAGCTGTGTTCTGGATCCCGAGCTTCAGCAGCCAGACCATGAAATGCAGGGCAAGAGGTGCACAGGACAGGACTGGGGAGCTTTCATTTCCAAACAGGCTAACCCCAGCGTAGGTTTCTGCCTTCCAGCCTTAGCAAGGCCCTGACCCCCTCAGTCCTCCCAGCACAAATCCCAAGTCCTCTTTCCTAGACACCCTTATCACTGGCCAGAACCCAGTCAGAGGAGACACTCGGTGAAGGAGACAGCTGGAGGCTCAGCACCAAGGGAAGGGCCTGGCTATGCACCCACTGTACAGTAGCAGCCCCTACAGTTGCTGCTTCTCTAACAGCGACTTTTGTGCCAGACCCTGGGTGCTGGGCTGCTGGGCTGCTCTCCGTGCCTGGGTCCATCTGGAGCCCCTGCAGCAGTCTCCTCTGCGAGAGGCCCGCAGGTGGAAAGACTGCCTCCGCAGCCTAGAGCGCAGCACACAGGGACCACCAGATCGAAGTGTGCAAGCACCGCCTCTGTCCACCATGGCTCATACAGGACCTGGCTCTGAGTCACCGCACACACTCCTCCAGGCTGATGAGGCTTTTCCAAATACAGCACAGAGGACTAGTCACTGGGACCAGGCGGCCCACAGAAACGCTGCTGCACTGGCTCCAAGAGCCAGGAGAAATGAAGGCAGGGAGTGAGAAACAACAAGGCAGCAGGGTCAGGGCAAAGATGGTTCCTTTGGAATCTCTGGTTCTCCTGTGCGGCCCTGTGCAGACGAGAAGGGTGCTGGAGCTGCCTGCCCTCTGCTCTCACCTCTTTGGGTCTTGCTGATCCTGCTTGTTTGCCCATCCCGTTCCGTCCTTGGGTACTATAACAATGTTTGGGTCGTTTCCTTTGTTTTCAGACTTTAAGCTTGGCAGGTTTGCAGGCGGTGGCATACGCCGGGCTGTGGCAACTTTTCCGAGACTCTGTAAGCCATGTCTAGGAATAACTGCAGGAAGACAGGGATGGAGACAGTGCACAGGGAAATTACAGAAGAAAAGAGGCCAGAATCATTCAGCTGCTCTTTCAAACCCTAAGTGGTAACGACAAAGACAACAGAACAAAAAACAAGGGGTAGCCCCGCTTGTGGAAACACACAAGCAATGCCTGGTGGTCATTTAGTCACTTGACAAGCTCTTCACCAAGGCCTTCAGACACACAGGAGTTGCCGGAATCTGTGGAGGCTTCCATTTTATTAGCAGGCAGGAGAAGGCTCAGGGGTTTATGACATGGGTGAGGAGCCAGGACCAGAAACCTCGTCCCACATGGTAACTACTCTGCAAGTTGAGACTGCTCTGGCATCATTACAGCAGGACTGAAAGGACAGTCTCTGCCTAGACCCAAGCCAAGCCCCAGCACTCATAAAATCCTCATGGGGTGTGGATGGTATCGGCAGGAACTTTCCCACCAAGTTCCAGAATACTGGAACCATGAAATCTAAACCGGGTAACTCTCATGCAAATTAAGCTCCATTCTAACCACTGGGCTAAAAATATCCACGGTTTCAGTAAGATAAGAGAGAGGGGGAAACAGCCCCCCTACAGCCAAGTCAGGGTATTCTAGGCTCTGAAATCAGACCTCAAACAGGAGCAAGGGGAGGCTGCTTCCCAGAACTACCGGGTGAACTACCTGCCATAAGACTGATTTGCATGGACCTCTGACCAAGTGGGGGACTCTGGGTTCCCATGGTCCTTGACCTGGAGTTTCTCAATAAAGGAAAAGTGGAAAGGCCTGGCCTTGGACCCCAGTTCTTACCTGAGGATCGAATTGCGTCTACTGATTTTCCTTTATACTTATCAAACAGGCTGAGAGTCGAATACTTGCTTTTCCCATCCTTGCCCTTGGTTATTTGCCCCAAACGATCGGACATTGCGATGAAATGTCATCTAGTAAGGAAATTTTTCTCGGCACCGCCCGATCTGCCTTTGAAATGGAAAAAAAGAGCATGTCAATCCACCAGAACCTGATCCAGTGAGTAAGTCCTTTAGGGATCATGCATCTCCTTGAAGATCTAAAGAAAGCTTTGGACTCTGTCCCTAGAAACCGCCCTTACCATGCACGGGCAGTTTTACCCACATTTACAGAGCATTTTGTAGACTTGCTGACCCCACCCCCAACGCTTACCCTCACCCTCACCCTCCTCATTCTGAAGTGGCTGGAGGCTACTGCTCATCAGCTACACTGAAATGTCAACTTTCAGAGTCCTCTCTCCCAGACTCAACCTCTTCAAAATGGAAAAACAAGTACACACCCTTTCAGCACCTCCATGTAACATCAAAAATAAGGCAGGCAGAACAGGGGAGGTAGGTACACAATCCACTATGAAAGTCTGTTCATTTCAAAGACAAGCAAAAGCAAATCCAAGGGAAGCAACTAAAGTTAGTAAATCATCCAGGATCGTCGGGTGTATGCACTTTTCAAAATCAAGAATCAGCATCCAGAGAGAAAGCATGTGCTTAGGCAATAAGAGCTGGCTCTCTGAAACTCAGGCTAGAAAACAAACAAAGTGCTCCCCAGGGAAGGCCC